CATCAAGAAGAGGCTGAGAAGGAAGGGACACATGCATTCTAAATGCTGCAAAAGAAAAAATTGCCGTGGCCAGTTTTTAAATTACTTAAGATCCTCTCCTGACTGCTACATACAAGGGGACACTATCATGAATTTCAGAAATGGCACTGTGTTTTGTCATTTTTGTAAAGCCCTCGCCACATTTTCTAAAAATAGGCCTTATTCTGTGAGACTCCAAGTTGCTTGGGGGTTCTCCCTGTCAGTTTCCTTTTGACTCTCCCACGGCCAGCTCAGGCCTGGCGACGTGTTGTGCTCTCACAGGGAGAGTCCGTCTCCTCCATTTGCATTTCCACAGTAGTCCTGTCTTCTGCTTCTCCTGTGATCCTCCTAACCACAGGATGTCCGCTTTTGCTGGTGGGTGGGATAGGAAGGCAAAGCAAGGCAGGAGCAAGTGTTAACAATTCATCATCACTTTGCTCATCTCACTACACTTTCATGCCATCAGGGCAAGATGACACAAATAGAAAGCATCATTAGCTTCACTGCTTCCAGCTGGGGGTGGAGGGAAACTCCAGGCAGCTCAGCCTATTTTCACCTTCCATGGTCTTGGGAAACAGGAGAGGTAGACACTGGTATCTTCTCATAATTCCTTAGTGTAATTTAGCTCCCTTTTATTTGTCCTAATCCTTTAAACATTTTTGACTCATCACCACAGATAAATTCATCAAAACTCTCAAATGAAATCACCAAGAAAACCCAAGAAAGTTGAGTTAGAGAGTATTTTTTCTCTGCATACCATATAATTTTCTTCAAAACATCCTGACTTTCTGGGTATTTGAGATGCTCATTTTCCTGATTGTTATACTTCATTTGGCATTACCCCATCTTTATTAACTTCACTTGAAAAATTATCTGGATACAACAACAAAATATTTTTAGAACAGCAAATTTCAAAGATGATGCCCAAAGGAAAAAATGGTTCTGGAAAAGGGGGAAATGGGGACACGTCTCTGGGAGCAACAGTGCTGATGAGAAGGCTCAGGGCCCCAAAGTGGGTGGTGACACAGCATACAGACACATTCTACGCGAAAAACAAGGCAAAACCATGGAAGCCATGGAAAGTTAAAATCTAGTACAAGACTCAATGAAGTGGCTCCACAATATAGTGAAGATAAAGCCAGGCCCGGGACGACTTGGGTAAGGAGGATCATGACTCACCACGGACCCCTGCTTTTCAAGAAGCAGCATTTGCCTTGCCTGTAAGTGGGATGGGTAAGCCTGTGTTTACAGATCCGTCCATAAAGACAAAATTTGGATATATTATTATGGATGAAGGAAGAAAATAAAATCAAATTAAGCCAACTCACCAGACTTTGGACTTCTCACTACATCTCATCATACTGTTAATGTCTATGTGACTGGCAAAGGCTAAGTCCAAGGCATTGTGCAAAAAACAGGGTTTGATTGAGCAACATAGTTTTTTTTTTTTTTTTTTTGAGACGGAGTCTCGCTCTGTCGCCCAGGCTGGAGTGCAGTGGCACAATCTCGGCTCACTGCAAGCTCCGCCTCCTGGGTTCACGCCATTCTCCTGCCTCAGCCTCCTGAGTAGCTGGGACTACAGGCGCCCGCCACCATGCCCTGCTAATTTTTTGTATTTTTAGCAGAGATGGGGTTTCACCGTGTTAGCCAGGATGCTCTCGATCTCCTGATCTGCCTGCCTCGGCCTTCCAAAGTGCTGGGATTACAGGCGTGAGCCACCATGCCCAGCCTCAGCATAGTATTTTAATACCAGAAGGAAAGCACCCTCCTCGTCATCTATACACTCTTTTGTGTGGAACTTTTAGTGAGTCAAAAGATTTCAATGTGGGCCCCTTTATCTAGAAATCCACTTAAGGGTTATGTGGGTCTTAAGGTAATAGTTCTTATTTTTTCATTTCTTATTCCCTGCACTTTCCAACTCCATAGGCAGTAGCCACACAAAGCCATTTAATTGCAGTAGGCGGGGCATGGTGGCTCATGCCTGTAATCCCAGCACTTTGGGAGGCCAAGATGGGTGGATCACTGAGGTCAGGAGTCCAAGACCAGCCTGACCAACATGATGAAACCCCGTTTTTACTAAAAATACAAAATTAGCCAGGCGTGGTGGTACATGCCTGTAATCCCAGCTACCTGGGAGTCTGAGGCAGAAGAATCACTTGAATCCGCGAGGCAGAGGTTGCAGTGAGCTGAGATCGCACCATTGCACTCCAGGCTGGGCAACATCTCAAAATAAATAAATAAATAAAATACTATAATTAAATTTAACTGAAATCACACTAGCCGTATGTTAAGTACTCAATAGCTACATGTGGCTAGTGGCTATAGTGGTTAGTGCAAATTTAGAACGCCTCCATCATTACAGAAAGTTCTGATGGTCAGTGGTGCCTATACTCTACATACCAAGTGCCAGGTCATCTTAATCTCAGTATTCTTTTGGCAGGTATTGGCACAGAAAGATCAAGTGACTTACCTAAGGATTAATGCTGAGTCTTATAAATAGAATTTAAACTGACATCTCTGGGACCCTAGTCTGAGGATCTTGTTTTAATTGATTTGTTCTTCTCTGAACAGTATCTTAACATGAGAAATGGCATATTCCCCAGTTGCAAACTGCCTGCTATCTTGGTTTGTGCTAGAAAGGTTATGTCTGAAGATCTTAATTTAAGCTGGAATACATTAATTTCTGAACAGTCAACATTCTACTGCTATCTTCATTGAAGGCAATCAGCAGAATGTATTTACATATATTTCTTTGTATGTTTACCTTTACATATTTTAATTAAATGATTTACAGCATAGTAGACAGAAATTCCATTTTGTTTAGGTCATTATTTTATTACTCGATGTACCCAAATCGCATATGAGGAAAGACAGCTTAAATGTGTTTAATAGTAGAGACAAGGTAATAAAATGCTCAGTGAGAACTGATCTAACACTGTGGAAAAAAAAATACTGAGGATAATGACAGTAGTAGTAATAATAAAAGCAAATGCTTATAGATCTGTTTACTATATGCCAAGCATGTTCTAAGTGTTTTCATACATTAATTCTACACTCACTCACTTAATTCTCATACCTACCCCATGAAACACTAATGTTTCTCTATTAGGAATAAGGAAATTGAGGCATAGAGAGACTAAGCTTGTCCATGGTCACAAAGTTAAGATTGGAACCTCAGCAGTATGGCTCCAAAGGCTGGTGCTCTCAGTCACCAGACTACACAGCAGTCCCCCTTATCAGTAGGAGATACATTCCAAGACCCCCAGTGGATGCCTATGACTGAGGATAGTACTGAACCCTATATACACTACATTTTTTTCCTATACATACACAACTATGCCAAAGTTTAATTTATAAAATAGGCACAGTAAGATATTAAAAGCGATTATAAAATAGAACAATTATAACAATAGACTGTAATAAAAATTATGTGAATGTGGTCTCTCAGTATCTTCACCTCTGGGAACCGAAACTGTGGAAAGCAAAACAGCAGATAAGGAGACACTACTGCACTGCAAAGTGACGAAGCACTGAGAAAAACTAGTCCCGTCTTCCTAGCTTTAACCAGCAAGTGCCCTTGATACTTCTAAATTTAGGGAACATGCCCACTTCCCAATTAGTATGCGTATCTTTCTTTTCTGCATCTCATTTTTCTTTTCATTCATTAGTGTAGTGTTGAAGTTCTAAACAGTTTCCCCCCACCACAAACAACTGTTTAACAGTTGATGCCAAAAATTCAGTAGATATTTTACTAAACTAAATCAGACCTCCAATCCTGGATCTAATGGACATACTAAAATAAGTCTTTCCTGCTTTAGAGTTATGTTCAGTTATACTCTGAACTTCTTGGACTTGCTTTTATTTTAATAATTCCTGGCCAGGCACGGTGGCTCACGCCTGTAATCCCAGCACTTTAGGAGGCCGAGACGGGCAATCACCGGAGTTTGGGACCATCCTGGCCAACACGGTGAAACACATCTCTACTAAAAAATATAAAAATTAACCGGGCATGGTGGCACATGCCTGTAATCCCAGCTACTCGGGAGACTGAGGCAGATGAATCGTTGGAACCCGGGAGGCGGAGGTTGCAGTGAGTTGAGATTGCACCACTGCACTCCAGCCTGGGCAACAGAGCGAGACTCTGTCTCAAAAAAAAAAAATTCTCTTCTGAGTTTGCCAGGAGCCCATAATACACCAAGTTAAAAAGTTCATAAACACAGCTATCAAAAACCTATCTTTTAAGAACGTAACATTTGGGAAGTTCTCAAAGGAAATTGATGGCTTACAAGATTTGCTTCTTTTTTTTGGAGAAATCTACCTTGAATGGCACCAGAAGCTTGAAATCCACATTGTAAACTTTAATCCTGAAAATAGCCGCTTAATTACAAATAAAAAAGATCTTCCCCAGTTTAAGAAATGTTTTTGTTTTTAGTCTTTCAGTCACTTGATAATACAACTCTAGGCCACAATCCAGAAAACCAGTCTAATTCAGTCACTTTATAGACAAAAAAACCCCTAAGATGTAGAGAGGTAAAGTGACTTGCTTGGTCACACAGCTAATTCATCAGAACAAAGAGTGAAACCCAGGCTTTCTGATTCAGCTGTTTCCACACCTGCTAAAAGAACAAGGGGTTCTGCACACGTCTTCTGCACTGCTCTGGCAATTTTTCCTAAGCACGTGTTCCCAGATGCTGAGATGACTGTGCAGGTTGTGTGAACCGCATACAACTGGGCTGCATCTAAAGAGATGTCATTCATAGTGGACACCGTAGATCTGTACACATTTTATGAGAATGTTCTGGCTGTTAGCAGCACAATGGGTTGTGCTCATGAAAGCAAGCAATCTTGGAGAGACCCAAGTTGTGATTCACTTCTCAGTCCCAGAGGCCACATGACAAGAAAAAAAAAAAAACTTTTTATTTTTTAACTCAGACTCCATTCTCCTTTGAATTAATGTTGACATAAAAGAGAAAAAGGCAAAACACAAGCAAAGAAACTGAGATATTTATTTAAAAAGGAAATTCCAGGGAAAGTACCCTGCATTACCTTAGGAGCTGTATCCGGCCAAATTACTTATAGCATCAATATCTGCAACCGTATGATCCCTGATGTTTAGAAATCGTGACCCTGAAGCCCTAAATGATCCCCAATCAAAAAGCAGTTAAGTTATATCTAGCATACTGTGTTAAGAAAGTCTATTTTATCATGGTTTTCAACCAGTATTAAAATAGGAAAAAAAAGCAGTTTTCTGGCTAACCAGAAAACTCTGTTCCCTGAGCATCTCAACAAACTGAGCCTGTGTTATAAAGAGACTGCTCTCTCTAAACAATCAAGTCTAGCATAACTCATCAAGTAGAAACCAAACCAATCACCAACCAAAGGAAAAGATCCACCCCTTCTAACTTAAAACATTAAAGATATTAAATGAGTGATTTTTTTCACTTTTGGAAATAATGTGAAATGTCTGTATTACACATAGTTGCAGACACATTAGAAAAAAACAAATTAATCTTTAATTTTCTATGAAATTGCTAGCTGCTCTTTGTTTCAATAAATATGAAAATAATAAATTAAGATTGCTTTAGCACAGGAAGAGATAGATAGATATGTGGTTGAAACAATACAGCAGGATGTTTCAATACTGCTAGACTGTGGGCTTTCATAATCCAGAAGGCTGGATGTTGTAGGGAGCACTTTCAAGTCCATCTACAAAAGGACTCAGGTTCTGCTACTATGGATAAACCTTGTAGTGACTGGTCAGAACTTCCCAATGAACAGCTCAGAATCCTAGGTCTAAGCCAGGCAGCAAATGATGTATTTTGGAAGAGTAGTGGTCAAATTTATCAATTCAATGATCTCAACATGTGACTATTCTTGAAAGAAAAAGAAAAAGCTCGGCAACAGAAAAAACAGTAATGACAAAACAAAACAATCTTCTGGCCAGGAGCCCAATTATTTTTCAGGCAAAATTTTTAAGAAAACAAAATTTTTCCAGAATATTCCATTACAAAAATCAATGAATAAATGAATTACACTCTAACTTTCATACATATTCCATATGAAAAAGCAAACTGCTTCTGGCAATTTGATTGATCTCTTGAAAGTCTGCTGTGCATGCATTCCATGGTTAAAACCGTGTGTAGGCATTGCGCTGCTGCTGCTGCTGTAATGGCTGCTGGGCTTGCTGCTGTTGTAAGCGAATTTGCTGGGAATAAGGGTCTTCCAGGGATTTTACAAATATGGTAGTTCTGGGACCAGTCTTCCATACTATACCATTGGCATCTTTCACAGAAGATTCCACTGTAATGTTGTGTGTTCCAAGGATAGCAAAGTTCAACAGAAATTGAGTACTGAAGTAATCATTATGAGGTTCAACCCTTTGCTCCATCTCATTGGTCATGTTGTCAATGGGTATCTGGAATGAAACAATTGTTAAATAACAACAATGGCTAACATTTATTCGGTACTTACTATGAGTTAGGCCCTGTTCTAAGAGCTTATTTAGACCATGCAGACAATCAAAAAGTAGGTACTGCTATCATCCTTGCTTCACAGATGAGGAGTCTGAGGCAGACAGGTGAAGTAATTTCTCCAAAGTCACATGATTAGTGAATGGAGTAGGAATCTGAACACAAGCAGGCTACCTCCAGGGCCTACACTCTGAACTATTAAGCGATGCTCCTCACTATCCTTGAGTAGAATGAGCTCCCAGGGCTGTTTACAGCCCCTTCACATGCTAGGCTTTCTTCCTTGCTTACTCAACCCCATCTCTAAATCCCTATCTTCCTTGAGACTGTGAAGAGATATTCTGAAGAAATAGGATGAAATCACCTGTCCCAGAGAGTTTAAAATCTAAGAGACTGAAAAAGAACAAAACACTAAGCAAATTTAAGTTAGGTTCCCCCCCATCCAGTTGTTCTGATTTTTATTACTTAATGTAGTGATTCCTTACTCCTTTAATAAATTAACTGAACAATTTGCACACTGCTCATTTAATAATCAGTGTCTTGTTCAGACTGGAAGTACAATATGTTATAAAACACAGATTTACAGGCTCATTCATTTAGCCAGACATTCATGCTTTTGTTCTTCAAAGACCAGAATAAAACCTGCTGACGTACTCTTACCTGTACCCAAGATGAAACATGTCAAGAGATAGATTTCTCCTGAGAATGCAAATAAAGGTGATCTTAATGTGTATTTGACCAGATTGCTCTAGGTTTATGTGTGTGTTTCTGTGGTGTAATTAATTATATAAATGTGCCCTGCAGCTTTGTGTCTCAAGGAGCAGTTATCATGTCACTTTTCCAGAGACATTTACCTGTAACATTAATGAACTGACCTCACCAACCAATTCAAGGTCTTAGAATTATTTATAGTACAGGTACTTTTTCACGTTTAGCCTTTGTATAGTTTTTATTTCCCTAAAGAATATGCCTACCAAAGAACTTCCTTAAAAGGACCAGAAATAGGCCTAGGGAACCTGATCACCCTGAAAGGATGGCTGCATTTTAAGCTGCAAACTCACTGTGAATAACACGGCAAAGTAATCATGTTATTACACGGCTTATTATATCAGCTTCCTGACTTTAATCAATGCCTCTTGAGAGGTAAGTCAACAAGCAGAAGACCATAGCTTCTAGGTTTAAATGTCGTTTTCTTAATAGAAGAAATTATACGCAAGGAACAAAGAGAATCATGGTTACTACTGTTTCAAATTCAAAGTGAAGAGAGAGCTGCAGACAGGGATAAATGTGTAAATTCTCATTACAACCTTCTGTGACAGCAGATACCCAATTTTAACAGTTGTACTCTAAATACAGTAAATAATTTTTTCATCATTCACAAATTATTGAGTGGCTACATAAGGTACCATGCAGTATGGCATAGAAGTCAAAACAGGAAAAGAGGAGAATGAAGGCTGAGCCATGTCAGAGTGCCAAAGTGAGAGGAACTTGCCATAGTTAAGAAAGTAGTAATGGCTTAAGAAAGTAATAATAGTTTAGAACCAGACCTTCCATTGGCTTTTTAACCTAAAACCACCAAAGATAATAAAATGCTCTCTTTTTATACCTTCACTGATAACCTGCCTTCCACGCTACGCCACAATAAACCTAAACACAGCCAATCTGGGCATCTGAATAACTTTGCTGCTACAACTGTGGACTTGGTCCCTCGCTCCATTTACTGTGGATAAACCACCAAGGAATTGGAAATGAATGTCTAAAGCAAGGAACATTCTTTATTTGGAACATTGGCATTTCATGGGTACAGATTCAGTAGCTTAGCTCTGGCTAACAATGTAAGCCTGATTCAGGTTACTACTTACCTATATCCTGAGTTCTCAAGGCAGCAAATCCCTAGGGTTACACTCTTAAAAAAAGATTTTACTTTATCTGACCATTTTATAGAAATGCTATATACTTTTTTTTAAATGATAAAATTTACTTAAAATGGAGAAAACTACATAGATGTGTATTTTTTTGTGGGGAGGGATTGGGTGGGTTAGGGAGACACTTGTTTTTCAACTTCTGACATTTAAAGGGACCTCTTGATGTGCGAGGGGCCTTTCATTAGATTAATTTCCTGGCCTAGTGGGGAGGAGGGAGGAGGTGAGTCTTGCTGATGGGTGAGTTTCTGGGCAGGAACCAGACATGGGAAGGTAAGCCCTTGCTCTTTCTCTTCTGCTTTGGGCACCCGAGTTCTCTATGCCCTGCCATAAATTTATAGGGGCAGGCTCCCATATGTACTGACTGAGGCTGGGTGAAAAAATCCAATTCAGGGGTCTAAGGTTATAAAGTCCTTGCTGCCAGGCATCGGAGTTAGGTTTTCCCACAGCTCTAACAGTCATAAAACTCATATTTTGATCTTTGCCTGGATGCTTCGTCCCTATTAACTGGTTCAGGGAGAGAAAAAAGAAGTGTTTATCAACCCCTTCCAGCCCCAATGTGGGCTTTTAATTTATGTCCATCTGATCCCTTTGGAGGTATAACTGCAATCTGTTTAACCATGAAAAACACTGGAAAACTTCCATCAATGAGCTCATATAAAATCTGTATCACAATTCTGCCTCTTTCCTAAATTACCTTGTAGTCTTGTCCGGATTTACTCTGCAGTGTGGAAGAAACATTCAGACAGACAGACTGAATTTTGCGAAAGAGTCCTGGTTTAGATCCGTGCTGAACCACTCCCTCTACCTTTAGCGCCAGCTGCTGGTTATTCTGGACAGCAATGGGCTCTGCAGGGTTCCGGGGCGATGGTGACAGAGCAAGCTGGAATGCCAACACTCAAATAAATGCCAACAACCAAGAGCAAGCTTCCTTCTGACAAACATGTCTGTGCTAATCACTGGTTACAGGTTAACAGAATCGATTGTGTACTCCCCTACCCCCACATGACCTGACTGTGCTGAGAAAAGACAGATGTACCTTTAAAGTGCCTCCTTCTAAACATCACTGTGGTTTTCATCTCAAACCTCAGTTCTACTTGAGGATGATAGAGAACTAGAGAAAAGCAAAGGCACTGTTCTCCCAATTTTTGTGGTGAGGCATTTCTTTGACAATGAACCACTTCTAGTAGGGAAATGCATTATATCAATTTTCATTACCTAAGAGCTGCTGTCTCTTTGGTCTTAGGTAAATTTAAGTAAACTAAATTCAAATGTAAATGAACTTAAAGTTCCAGGATTATCTACACAGCGAAGTCACTGTGCTATAAAAAAGTCAATATCCACAAATGAATCAAATGACATTTTTTACCTCTCATTAGTTTTTCTTCAAAAATGTATTAAAAATCCCAAATATGCATCAATTAAAGAAAGCTCAAGTCTTGCTAAATGAAAAGATGGAATAAATTTGAGTCTTTCTGATAATGCTGTTGAACCACTAAACTAATCAACCCTGGAGACATCCTACTTTAGGACTTCTTATCTAGATCGTCAGTCTTCCTCATTATTCCAGTCATTTTGAAATGGAATGCTTTGTTATTTGTAATCAAAAGCATCTGCATGGATGTAAAAGTTTACTGAAGACATTAACTAACAGGGATAATCTAGGAAATCTCTTAGAAGTGACAATTTTCTCCCTTTTCCAACAATTTCCTTTTTTGAATCAAAAATAGCTTTTGAATTGTGAGTGGCTTAAATATTTCAAAATACTAATTCTACTCACTGGTTAGCCCCTCAAAATATGTTACTGAAAGGCAGAAGTACTTTGGAAGTAGAACTGGTGACACTTTACTGGACCTGATTCATTCTAAGTTGGGTCTGAATAGACTCAGCTCAAGATCCTTGCAGGCTACTGTGATATATCACTAATTTATTCCTGGAGGGAAGAGGCAAACAACAGAGCTCCAGTTACCTAAATGCCTGTCTCATAGCATTTGGCACTGACAATTAAAAAGGGAGAGAGTTTAACTCTCAAATCCATTCCTTTCATCCAACCCTTGATAAAGGAGAGAAATGGCTTACAACTAGGTTTTATCAAAACCAAAGGTAGGCCAGGCACGGTGGCTCATGCCTGTAATCCGAGCGCTTTGGGAGGCAGAGGTGGGTGGATCACTTGAGGTCAGGAGTTCCTGACCAGCCTGGTCAACATGGTGCAACCCCATCTTTATCAAAAATACAAAAATTAGCTGGGTGTGGTGGCGGATGCCTGTAATCCCAGCTCCTCGGGAGGCTGAGGCAGGAGAATTGCTTGAACCTAGAGGTTGGGGTGAGCCAAGATCACACCACTGTACTCCAGCCCAGGTGACAGGGCGAGCCTCTGTCTCAAAAAACAAAACAAAACAAAAAAACCAATAAACCAAAGGTAACACACTGAAGTGTAGCTACGTCCTACATAATCTTCAGAAGACACCTGGTTTTAAAACCTATATTAACCTTAGTATTCTTCCTGTATTACCTTGATGCTGGTAGACTGTAGTTTCTGGAAAAAATATCTCTGGAAAGAAAGAGGAACTTTCAGCAAAGCAATGATGGCATTGCAGAGGCATGCTGTATGCTGGGGGAAAAAAAGAAACTAAATCAAATAAAAATAAATTTTCAAATTTCATCAACAAGTGGTACATTCAGTATAAAACTACAAATGCCCATATAATTACAAATGTACATACCAATCAAGAACTAGGCATCACATCCAGGAACTGTGCATACATACTAAATCATTCATGTCATCAATCACAATTATAGATTTTTACTTTATTGTGAAGTATATTCAATAAAATATAAGTGACAGAAATGAGAAAATCCACAGTCCTCAAGGCCAAGCAATAGGAAAATTCCACATTTCTACAGCACTCAGAAATATCAGTATATTATTAAACAAATACATTAGATGCTAAAATACAGAGTAACTATCACATGGCAAAGTATGATAAACAGTATGGTAAAGAAGCCCGAGCATTTTGCAGGACCTTGGCTTTGAGCTGGCTCATTCTTTCATTAGGTGGCTTCTTTGTCTCTATGGCCACCGGTCCTCAGAGTAAGCAATGTGGAAACTTAGTCGAATTCAGATGAAAGAGGACTATATAGTCGGAGAATCCTGAAACTCTAACAAAATACCTTATTTCTCAAATCTGCTTCACACATTTAACTGAGTTTTGAAAATCCCAGCATGACTGCAGAGGTACAGAAACACTGCAGAGAATATTTTGAGCCTTAATGAAAGTGGTCATAAAATCAGAATTTAAGAGTTCAACGATATTTTAAAGATTACCCAGTCTAATCTTCAATTTTGCTGATGACACAGGTCACACAGATAGGTAATAGAACAAGCTGGGCCTAGAATCTAGGTTGCCTGACTCTTCAGTGATTTTCTTCTGTATCACCAATGATTTGCCAACTTAATAGAAGAAAACTGAAAGTATCATAAGAACACCTTCAACTTTAGGTGAACCAGAACCATTCCTGCTTGGTCTACTATCCCTTCCTCAGTCTACTCCGGTCTCAGTGGCCTCCTAAGGCACAACAGTGAGGCAGCACTCCTTTCGCGGGGGCACTAGCTGCGGGGGGTCTGTTCCTGCAGACCCGATTCAGCAACGCATGAATGAAGTACACTGACACCCAGATATTCTGCTCTGCCAGTCCAGCTGAGGGTCCCAGCCGCTTACAGGCTCCTGCTGAGTCCTGTTAACAGTTGTGACTGGTCCCTGATCAGCTAGTCAGACTCGCATTTATTCAGTCAGATTAATTAACAAAAGCTTGAGTCAACACCATTAGAGGGAAATTGACATTGTGGACTTCTGAGTAAAAGGCACTTAAGCACCCATGGTACATCAAAGGTTAGTCTTTACATGAGTAAACAAGCTAGCTAGGTAAACTACTCTGTCTTTCTTTATTACTATTTTAATTTGTTTAACTAAAGGTAAAGGGATCAGGTCGCCTTCAGTCAGATCTATTACTGAAGTCATACAAACTTCTCAGCCTTCCAAGAAGATTTGTGTCTATTTCTATAACTATCTCTAATATTTTTCCCACCAGCCTGATTGAAACCCAACACCACAGGTTGAAAACTGCTGCATGCACCACGTGGTATGCTGTCTGTCCCTCTAAGCTCCTGCTTTCAAACAGAATGTCACCTAGTTGCTCATGCTGTAAACATTTTTTTTTTCTTTTTTTAAGTTGGGTGTTAAGGCTAAAAGCCAGAAAAATCCATTCCTTATTGGGTTCAGGCAGTTGAACATTTTGTGCCCAATAGGCTCATAGTACAAATGCCAGGTCTATTACCTGAGATAATTACAACACAGATTTAAAGACACTGGTTCTATTTTTTCAGATTCAACTGTTAAAATAGCATTAATCAGCTTCCTGCAACAAGTAATTTGGAAAGTATTTGCAGGGACATCCACCTTTGGTGGACCTCTGATGCCACACTAGTGTTTAAGGAGAAAAACATCTTTGAAGGGTGGACTCAGAGGACCACAAGGGACTTCAGGCTGTTTTCAGGCAGAAAGTCACCATTTTGCCTTTTAAAAGAATGGTGCAGATTTTGCAATACCCCCTTGGAAAAGTGTGGAGTGCCTCTGAGGTCAACAGCCCCTTGGGTATTGACCTCCATAGGTATATTAGCAGACCACTATTAAGATGTCTGGAGATGTAAATTACATATCACAATCAGAAAGACGTTAATGTTTTTTTTGTTTTTTTGTTTTTTTGAGACGGAGTCTTGCTCTGTTACCCAGGCTGGAATGCAGTGGTGCGATCTCGGCTCACTGCAAGCTCTGCCTCCTGGGTTCATGCCATTCTCCTGCATCAGCCTCCCAAGTAGCTGGGATTACAGGCACGTGCCACCACCCCCGGCTAACTTTTGTATTTTTAGTAGAGACAGGGTTTCACCATGTTGGTCAGGCTGATCTCAAACTCCTGACCTCATGATCTACCCGCATTGGCCTCCCAAAGTGCTGGGATTGCGGGCAGGAGGCACCGCGCCTGGCCAACACTCTCTTAATTGTCAATCCAATGGATACTTCTCAGTCTTTGTATTTTCTGACATTTCCGTGGCACCTGATAATGCTTTTCCTTCCATGAAATTCCACCTAATAGTCCATACCCTTATTTCTGATTGACTTTAAGACCTTCTATGTGCAGATGACCTTATATGCATCCCAGCTCATCTTTCTTCCAACTCCAACGTATTTACTATCCAACTGCCTAAAGACAACAACGTGTTTGAAAATAAAACCTTCATCTTCTATCACCTCTCTATATTCTATCAGTAAAGGATCAATCAGTTGTGTAACTGATCACTGAAGCTGGAAACCTGGAAGGCATGCCTCCATCATCTCATGTCTAGTTTAAAAAAAAAAAAAAAAAAAAAGGGCCAGGTGCGGTGGTTCACGCCTGTAATCCCAGCACTTTGGGAGGCCAAGGTGGGCAGATCACGAGGTCAGGAGATTGAGACCATCCTGGCGAACACAGTGAAACCCCATCTCTACTAAAAACACACAAAAAATTAGCCGGGCGTGGTGGCGGGTGCCTGGAGTCCCAGCTACCGGGGAGGCTAAGGCAGGAGAATGGTGTGAACCCCGGAGGTGGCGGAGCTTGTAGTGAGCGGAGATCGTGCCACTGCAATCCAGCCTGGGCGACAGAGCAAGGCTCCATCTCAAAAAAAAACAAAAAACAAAAAAAACACACTCAGCCTTGAAAATATTTTCACTAAGTATCTCTCATATATATCTGTTTTTCTCATTCCTACTGACATTTTAGTAATTTGTTCCTTCCTTTGGATTACTGAAAAAGTCTTGTAGTCATTCTTCTTTCCTCTAATTTCACACCCTACCAGCCATTTCCTGTTTTGCTTCTCTATGATAATATACAATCTATATTAAGCACTTCTCTCTCCCACCCATTTACAATTTCTAAGAAGCCCCCCAGTGCCTAAGGACAAAGTCCAAACTCCTTAATACTGTCTTCAAAGCCTTCTGTCACCTGGCCACTGGCTACCTCTCTGATTTCATCTCTCTAATCCCTAGCCTGTACATTACATTGCAGTAATAACAAACTGTTCCTAGAAGACACCATGCTATTTCATGCCTCTGCTTTTGAACATGTTTTCTGCCTGAGATTCCCAACCCCTTCTTATCTGTCTGGAAAACTCATATACAAATACATCTTCCCTCTCAACTGCACCACCAATCCATTTTCCCTATCTTTTGACGTGAACTACTTTTTTTGTACTACATCTCTACGTTGTGCAGAATTCTATTAATGCACATACACTGTATTGTGTTTATTTGTTTATAAATTCTTTCAGCTGGGCGCGGTGGCTCACACCTGTAATCCCAGCACTTTGGGAGGCTGAGGCGGGTGGATCACAAGGTCAGGAGATCGAGACCACCCTGGCTAACACGGTGAAACCCTGTCTCTACTAAAAATACAAAAAATTAGCTGGGCATGGTGGCGGGCGCCTGTGGTCCCAGCTATTCGGGAGACTGAGGCAGGAGAATGGCGTGAACCCAGGAGGCAGAGCTTGCAGTGAGCCAAGATCGCGCCACTGCACTCCAGCCTGGGTGACAGAGCGAGACTCTGTCTCAAAAAAAAAAAAAAAAATCTTTCTTTCTTAAGACTATGGACAACTTGAGGGAAGATCCCATGTCTGTCATTTTTCTATCCCTAGGATCCCATAAGTACTTGTTGAACTGAATCTGGAGGCTCAGACAGTAACAAATCTATAAAATACAATTTGGAAATACAGAAAAAGAGAATTTATTTATTTATTTATTTGAGATGAAGTTTCATTCTTGTCGCCCAGGTTGGAGTGCAATGGCGTGATCTCGACTCACTGCAACCTCCACCTCCCGGGTTCAAGCAATTCTCCTGCTTCAGCCTCCCAGGTAGCTGGGATTACAGGTGCTTGCCATCATGCCCTGCTAATTTTTGTAGTTTTAGTACAGATGAGGTCTCACCATGTTGGGCAGGCTGGTCTTGAACTCCTGACCTCAGGTGATCTGCCCATCTTGGCCTCCCAAAGTGCTGAGATTACAGGCATGAGCCACCATGCCCGACTGGGAAATGTTTTATTAACCACTCCTTATATGACAGCACTGTGCTAGGCAATAAGCATTATTTCATTTAAAACTCACAGTAATCCTATGACGCAGGCATGTTTTCTACTTCATATAAAAGGATGTTAAGTAATGTGACTAAAGTCACAGAACTGCTGAGCGGCAATGCCAGAATTTGAACCTAGTTCTGAATGAGCCTAGGGCCCTTTTCTCTGTACTGTCTTCTGCTGGGCAGAAAATTCCCATTCCATTATATTCAATTCCATCAAAACCAAGTTTCTGTTTATCATCTATTTCATTTTTTAGGATGGAGCTTAGACGAATATGAAAATAACCACTGTCTCACACAGATGTGTGTATTTCTTTCAAAGATTGTCTTTACACTCTCTCTTAGCAAACAATGTCACTGTCAAACAGCTGTCAATTCGGTTCAGTAAATACTATTGACAATTTTACATGGAAAGCAGTATGTCAAGGGAATTGCCCATCTTTAGATCTAACCTAACTCTTTAATGACACATCCTATTTATTCTAAAATACTTGATAAAGCAAGAAAGTACAGAATGAGAAGAGAAGCAGAAGAGAAACTCTCCAAGGGGTAAAGTTCAAAGGCTGGGAATTGTGGACTGAATGTTTGTGTTCCCCCAAATTCGTATATGGAAGCTGTAACCCCCAAGGTCATGGCATTTGGAGGTGGGCCCCCATGATGGGATGAGTGTTCCTGTGTTTTTTTTTGAGACACAGTCCTCGCTCTGTTGTCTGGGCTGGAGTGCAGTGGCATGATCTCGGTTCACTGCAACCTCTGACACCCGATTCAAATGATTTTCCTGCCTTAGCCTCCTGAGTAGCTGGGATTACAGGTATGCGCCACCATGCCCAGCTAATTTTTGCATTTTTAGTAGACACAGGGTTTCACCATGTTAGTTATGCTGGTCTCAAACTCCTGACCTTGTGATCTGCCCGCCTCGCCCTCCAAAGTGCTGGGATTACAGGTGTGAGCCACTGCACCCGGCTGGGATGAGTGTTCTCCCAGAAGAGGAAGAGTGACCCCAGCTCTCGATCTCTCCCTACCATGTGAAGACACAGTGAGAAGGTGGCTGCCACCAGGTCCAGGAAGAAAGCCCTCACCAGGAACCGAATCTGCCGGCACCTTGATCCTGGACTTCCCTGACTCCAGAACTGTGAGAAATAAATGTCTGTTGTTTAAGGCACCAAGCCTATGGCATTTGTTATAAAACCTGAGCAGAGTCACTAGGGAATGGTCAGACAGGGAGGAGAAAATTTGGGTGAGAATGTGTCAGCCTGTCCTACGACTGGTAAATCAGGGGAGAAGATTTAATAAAGGGTGAGCACTCTGAGAATTTCTTAGGAAGTGCCAAAGGCAGCAGAAATTCAGCAGGCTAAAGGCTGAAGAGTGTACTGAAAGACATTACTGTCATTACCTGGTAGGAAATGATTCATTGCCAGTCAGACAACAAGCCCAGTTCTTCCTGTTTCAATTGGCCAGTGGTTCTCCCAACCATGGCAACATGACAGAATCACCTGACTGCATGTAAAACTACTAATGCCTGGGCCCCAATTCCAGAAATTCAGAGTTAACTGGTCAGGGGTGAGGCCTGTATATTCATGTATTCTTTAAAAAGCCCTCAAGTGACTCTAATGTGTAGCCTGGGTTGAGAATTATTGTACTTCATTTAAATTGTTAAAAAAAGAAAAAAGTTTTATTTGTATTCTGTAGCAGCTAGAGATGTGGTAAGTGCTTTCATGGATTATCTCATTTACTCCCCACCACAATGCTGTGACGTCGGTATTAACTCTGTTTTATAGATAAGGAAACAGGCACAGAAAGGTTAATTTGTTGAACTCACAGAGTTAGTTAGCGCCATAGATGTATGAAAAACCCACATCCATACAATAAAAGCTCAATAAAACAAATGCCACTTGCCATATAAGAAACAGGGGTATACTTCCGATTGAGTGATTCTACCTCCTCCAAGACATGATTATATACAGACATCATTCTTCTTTCATATTCACTATCAGCATGGGCTGTTCCAGTAGATCCATATTCCTGGAAACTGAAGTAAAGGTCAATATTCATTAATCCATCAAAATAGCATGGCTATTTAATACCTACATGTATCAGGTACTTTCAAATATTTTCATTTAATTTTTAAAATCATGAAGTTATTTCCATTTATAGGTGAGAAAATTGAGGCTAGGAGAGGGTAAGTAGTTTGCCTACAGTCATACAGCTAGTAAATGGCAAACCAGAATTCAAACCCAGGTCTGACTTCAAGTTATGTAATTCTTAATCTCTTTGGTTGCCAGGAAATATGACAGTGTTTTACTGCCATAGGTGAAAGAGACATAAAGACATCTGAAAAGGGGACTATCAATAAAGCCAGCAGATAAGTGCCAAACTATCAATAAAGATATTATATAATAACAGGTTAGATACATAAATAACAGGTTAGAACATGGGGGAATGTCACAGAAGAAAATAGTCTTGAACATATCAGTAGGTGAGTAAGACAGGTAAACTCTGGAGAGATGGAAAGTACAGGACATTCATGGCTAGAGATATAGCATGAATCTAAAGCATGGAGATGAAACACACAGGCATGTTCAGAAGACAGTTTGTATACACAGCATGGCGGGATAAGTTTAACCTAGATTTCTTCCTTTTTCTTCTACTGCTTCGAACCCCTGCAAAATTCTGAAAATATTTCTAAGTGAAAAAAGGCATTTCTAACTAAACTTTTAAAAATGCAATGTAGGTAATTTAAATATGCTGGGCATAACACTACTCTTATTATTCCCTACTATCATTTTAATGCCTACTATGTAGAAGGCATTTCAGCCAGCTATTTTATATGTATTAGTTCATTTAATCTTCACAACTACTCTGGGAAACAGGCATCATTATCTACCTATAGTTTATGCATACATGGCTCACTGGGATGATATACATTCACAGAGCTAGGAGTGACTGGTAAGGGATTCATGTTCACATTTGCTGGGCTCCAAAGCTCTGTTTCCTGCTCTGTACTATATCTTAAGTTCTATTAAGACAAGAACCGAAGCTCATTTGTATGATGGACTTTAAGGACAACTAAACTACATAAAAGACTTCCATTTTTTTGCTAACAAAACAATTCCATTTCTGGCGGTAGGCAACCACAGATTTGCTTTTTATCTCTGTAAATGAGATTTGTTTCCTAATAGTTCATCTAAATAGAGCCATACAATACATACTCTTTTATGTATGGTGTGGGGTAAGGAAGATTATTTTTTCCCTTTTATATATTTAGTTGTTCTAGCACAATCTGTTGAAAAGACTATTCTTTTCCCATACAATTATCTTGGCATCTTTGACAAAAATCAAGTGACTATGTGAGTATCTATTTCCGGACTCTCCATCCTACCCTTAAGCCATCATCACATTGTCTTAATTACTGTAGTTTTATATTAAGTCTTGAAACCAGTAGTTAAGTCTTCCCACTTTAGTTTTTCTCATTTATTTTGCAATATGGTGAAGTACTTAAATTGATTTTCTAATGTTAACCCAACCTTGCATTCCTGGGATAAACCCTATTTAGTCTTAATGTATTATATTTACATATATTGTTGGACTGAACTTTTGTTAAAAATTTTTGTCTATGCTAATGAAGAGTATTTAAATTTGTCCTATTCATCTAAGCAAATTTCTTTGCACAAAGTTATTCTTTCCTTATTATGCTTTTAATATCTGTTAAGATTTGTATTGATGCCATCATTTTATTTCTACTATTAGTGATTGTTTTTTCTGGCTCAGACTAGTTTTATCAATTTTATTAATCTTTTCAAAGAACCAGCTTCTGGTTTCACTGATTTTCTCTATTGGCTTCTTTCACAGCATGTTTTTGAGGGCACTCATGGTTTCTGTATGACTTGCTGAATGATCAACAGGTCATTCGTCTGCATTACTAAGTAGCATTTCATTTGTGGATATACTACAATTTATTTACCCATTAGCCTACTGAGAGACACTTGCATTTTTCCAGATTTGTTATTATGAATAAAAATGCTATGAACATTTGTGTATATGTCTGTGTGGAAACATGTTTTCCTTTCTCTTGGGTAAAACAGTAGGAGTAGAATTGGTGGTCATATGATAAATGTATGTTTAACTTTATATGACATTGTCAAACAGTTTTCCAAGTGGCTATATCATTTTGTATTCCCAACAACGTAGTATTAGTATGAATTCAAGCTCCTCCACATCTTCACCAACGTAGGGTATTGAAGGTCTTTTTAATCTTAGCTGTTCTAGTGGGAGTAGTATCTTATTGTGATTTTAATTTCCCTAATGACTACTAATGTCAAGCACCTTTTCATGTGCCTATTGGGTATTAACATATTTTCTTTTTTGAAGTGTCCAAAACTCTTATCAGTTTTTTTTTTTTTTGAGACAGAGTCTCGCTCTATCACCCAGGCTGGAGTGCAGTGGCACAGTCTCGGCTCACTGCAAGCTCCACGTCCCGAGTTCACGCCATTCTCCTGTCTCAGCCTCCTGAGTAGCTGGGACTACAGGCGCCCACCACCACGCCTGGCTAATTTTTTGTATTTTTAGCAGAGACAGAGTTTCACCGTGTTAGCCAGGATGGTCTCGATCTCCTGACCTTGTGATCTGCCTGCCTCGGCCTCTTAAAGTGCTGGGATTACAGGCATGAGCCACCACGCCCGATCCTCTTATCAGTTTTAAAAAATTGGATTGTCAGCTGGGCATGGTGGCTCATGCTTATAATCCCAGCACTTTGGGAGGCCGAGGCGGGTGGATCACTTGAGGTCGGGAGTTTGAGACCAGCCTGGCCACTATGGTGAAACCTCAACTCTACTAAAAATACAAAAATTAGCTGGGCATGGTGATGCATGTCTGTAATCTCAGCTACTCAGGAGGCTGAGGCAGGAGAATCGCTTGAACTCGGGAGATGGAGGTTGCAGTGAGCCGAGATCATGCCACTGCACTCCAGTCTGGATGACAGAGAGTCCGTCTCAAAAAAAAAAAGAAAAAAATCGGATTGTCGAGTTGTGTGGTGTTCTTAATAAAACAATGTCTGAATAAAAGGTTTCTCTTTTGATAGAATATGTTTTGAAAATATTTTCTTGCTGTCCATAACCTTTTCCATTTTATAAATGACATATTAACAAAAGCAGATTTAAAAGTTTAAATCTAATTCAGCAAATTTTTCTCTTATGGTAACTGCTGTTTGTGTCCTAAGAAATCATGACCAACCTCAAGGTCATGAAGAGGTTTTCCAATGTAGTCTTCTAGAAAGTCTGGAGTTTTATATTTTGGTCTATGATTCATTTGGAATTAATTTTTGTATACACTGTGAGGTAAGGTTAAATTTTTTTCCACTATATAGATATCTAGTTATTTGTTTCTAATTCACTGATAACAGTCTTTCTTATTTGCATCTTTCTGATTATTCTGGGTTTAATTCGCTTTCTTTTCCTCACTTCATAAAATAGAAACTGCGATTATTGATCTTAAACTTTCTTTTACACATATAAGCATTTAAATCTATAAATTTCTCCATAAGTTCTTCTTATCCCACAGGTTAGCTGCATCCCACAAGTTTCGTGGTATGTTCTCATTTTCATTCAGCTTAACATGTTTTCTAATTTCCTTTGTAATTTCTTGACCTACTGGATTTAGAAATGTTGTTTAATTTCTAAATACTTGGAAATTTTTCAGAAATCTTCTTTCCTAATTTAATTATATCAGATAACATATTATTTTATTTCAATGCTTTAGTATTTATTGAGACTTGTTTTAAGGCCCAGCATATGGTTTATCTTGGTAAATGTTCCAAATGCACTTGAAAAGATGTATGCTGCTGCAGATGCTGTATAAATGTCAATTAGGTACAGTTGGTTGACAGTATCATTCAAGTTGCTCTATAAATTACCCAGAAGGAAGTGGTGATATCTCCAACTACAACTGTAGATTTGTGTATTTCTCTTTCAATTCTGTCAGTTTTTTCTTTATATATTTGGAAGACCTGTTAGTAGTTCCATAATACTGAGGATTATGTCTTCTGGATGAATTGATCCTTTAATCATGATGAAGTGTACTTCTTTCTCACTGACAACAGCCCCTATCTTAAAGTATACTTTGTATAATATTCATATGGCCACTACAGCTTTCTTAGGAGGGTTTGCATGTTATGTTATATCCTTTTCCATGTTTTTATTTACTGTTAACCTATGTCTTTACATTCAAAATGGATTTCTTGTAGTAAGCAGATAGTTGCATTTTGCTTTTTTTGTTTGTTTGTTTGAGACAGAGTCTTGCTCTGTCACCCAGGATGTAGTGCAGTGGCTCTATCTCGGCTCACTGCAACCTCCGTCTCCCAGGTTCAAGTGATTCTCCTGCCTCAGCCTCCCAAGTAGCTGGGACTACAGGCGCATGCCACCATGCCCAGCTGATTTTTTTTGTATTTTTAGTAGAGACGGGGTTTCACCATATTGGCCAGGCTGGTCTCGAACTCCTGACCTTGTGATCTGACCCCCTCGGCCTCCAAAATTGCTGGGATTACAGGCATGAGTCACTGCACCTGGCCGCATTTTGCTTTTTAAACCCAGTCTATCTTTATTTAGAGTAAGACCATATATATTTACTGGTATGACTGGATTTAAGGGTACCATCTTTTGATTTGTTTTCTACTTTTTCTATCTGTTTCTGTTCCTGTTTTCCTCTTTCTCTGGTCTCTTTTGGATTAACTAAGTATTTTAGTATTACACTTTATGGCTCTACTGGCTTGTTTTATTTCTTGGTGGCTGCTCTAGAGTTTAAAATATTCACCCTCAGTTTATCAGAAGTTACTATCAAAAGATATACTACTAAATGTAAGATTCTTACTACTATATCTCCCTGTTGTCTTACTTCATATATTTTACTTCTGTATGTTATAAACTCCTAAACATCATTTTGCTATAAATGGTCAATTATCTTTTTAAAAACTAAAAATTAAAAAAATTTACCATTTGTAATCCTCCTTATTCAGTTTTGTAGGTCTGAGTCTATATCAGAAATAATTTTCCTTCAGCCTAAAGAACTTCCTTTAACATTTCTTGTAGTACAGACCTGCTGATGGCATTTATCAGATTTTTTTTCTGAAAATGTCTTAATTTAACCTTAATTTATTGAACGGTATTTTTCCTGAATATAGAATTATAGGTTAACTTTTTTTTTCCCAGGACTTTAAAGATGTTGCTCCAATTGTCTTTTGGTTTGCAATATTTCTGATGAGAAATCAGTAGACATTCTGATCTTTCTTCCCTTCTAAATATTTTCTTCCCTTTTAAATTATACCTTCTCTTTAAAAAAAGTTTCCCTTTATCATTGGTTTCCAGCAATTTCACTGTTATGTGTGCCTTGCTCTAATTTTATGTTTTCGCTGATTTGCATTTCTCTAATGATCAGTGATGTTGAGGTTTTTTTCATATGCTTGTTGACCATGTGTATGTCTTCTTTTGAAAAGTGTTCATGTCCTTTGCCCACTTTTTAGTGGGCTTGTTTTTTTCTTGTAAATAATTTAAGTTCCTTATAGATGCTTGATATTAGACCTTTGTCAGATGCATAGTTAGCAAAAATTTTCGCCCATTCTGTAGGTTGTTTAATCTGTGGATAGTTTCTTTTGTTGTGCAGAAGCTCTTTAGTTTTATTAGATCCCATTTGTCAATTTTTGCTTTTGTTGCAATTGCTTTTGGCATCTTTGCATTGAAATCTTTACCCATGCCTAGTCCTGAAGGTTGTCTTCCAGGGTTCTATCATTTTAGGTTTTACATTTACATTACATTTATGTCTTTAATCCATCTTGAGTTGACTTTTGTCTATGGTGTAAGGAAGGGGTCCAGTTTCCATCTTTTGCTAGAGGTTCATTAAACTTCTTGGCTCTGTGGGTTTATATGTTTAATTAAATATAAAAGACTTCTAGTCATTTAAATATTTTTCTGTTCCCCTTTCCCTCTTTCTAGGATTCCAGTTACATGCATATTAGTCTAAATGACATTACTCCACAGGCCAGCTTTGACTCTTCATTTTTTCAGCCTTTTTTCTTCCTCTGTTCCAATTTGGGTAGAGAAATTTAAACTGCTTTGTTGATTATATTCTCTTTGAGGTATGCCAAGAGACTCATCTCACATGCAATTACATCCATGGGCTCAAATAAAAGGGATAGAGAAAAATCCACCAAGCAAATGAAAAATAGAAAAAAACAAATGCAAATCAAAACCACAATGAGATACCATCTCACGCCAGTCAGAATGGCTATTACTAAATCATTAAAAAATAACAGATGCTGGTGAGGTTGCAGAGAAAAGGGAACCGCTATACACTGTTGGTGGGAGTGTAAATTAGTTCAACCATTGTGGAAAGCACCATGGTGATTCCCCAAAAAGCTAAAACCAGAACTACCATTCGGCCAAGCAATTCCATACTGTGTACATACCCAAAGGAATAGAAATAATTCTATCATAATGACACATGCACACGTATGTTCACTGCAGCACTATTCACAATAGCAAACACATGGAATTAACCTAAATGCCCATCAATGGCAGACCTGATAAATAAAACGTGGTACATATGCATCACTAAATACGATGCAGCCATAAAAAAGAAGACGATCATGTCCTTGCCAGGAAGATAGATGGAGCTGGAAGCTATTATCCTTAGCAAACTAACACAGGAACAGAAAACCAAATGCCACACGTTCTCATTTAGAAGTGGGAGATAAATGATGAGAACATATGAAAACATAGAGGGGAACACCACACACTGGGGCCTACGTGAGGGTGGAAGGTGGGAAGAAAAAGAGGACCAGGAAAAATAACTATTGGGTACTAAGCTTAAAATCTGGGCAATGAAATGATTTGTACAGCAAACCCTGGTGACACGAGTTTCCCTATATAACAAACCTGCACACGTAACACTGAACTTAAAACTTAAAAAAGAAGGAAAATGCACATTCAAAAAGAGAATACTATAATGGGAAGAAAAAGGAATCATTCTTTAATGAAAACAACTATTTTGAATAATTAATTAGTTACTGGGGGAAGGGAAAAATTTAAAAGAGCAAAATCAGGGATACTTTGGTTTAAGAAGCCAAAGGAAAAAAATCTCAAGTTCAAGTTTAATTGTATCATTAACTCAATTTTTCATAGTTTAATTATAATATACAAGAAGAAACTGTTCATATTCAAAGAATTTCTTCCCAGTTATCTTTCCATGTTAACTTATTGAAAACAGGAGGCAGGAGGCAAATAGACAACAGAGTCAGAAAATCTATGTTTTGTCACTAGTTATGTAACTCGGAGAAAATGCTGGAAGAACTCTTCCTCTTTGTTTTTACTTCCATAATACTTGTTCCAAAATACTCTTCTGATGATTCTGATGATTAGGTAAGACAATGTATAGAAAGCGCTATTATTAATATTAGAATTACCTTGCTGATTCTGGATCCAAAATCAGGGCTTCTATTGCATGAGATATCAGTAAACAGCTCTGCTGCTGTCTGGATTGATGTTAAGGTTACATATGAAAATAGAGAAGAAACCCACTATAGGTTTATATTACCTGAATACTAAACGGGTCAAGATTTGATTGCCTAGTGAAAGTAATCATAATGTTATCAACTCGAATGGTCTAGGGCTCTACCTTTTCTTTTTAAGGGATATACATTGTCTATAATAGCGATCCTCAGACTCTGTTCCAAGAAGGGTACTTCGGAGGCTACTACTGTGGGAAGGGGAAATCAAGTGATAGACCCCGTGATTCAATTACAGCAACTCTGTTTTTATCTGTCTTAGATATAGGGGTTTTTCATAAGAGTCTGAGACAAGCAAATAAACGTTTCACTGATACAAGTTAAAAAAATAAAAACAAAAACAACACACAGTGGTCTAAGGAGCCTTTATCCCAGAGGTTCCTAATCTAGGGCTCAAGAGGTCTAGCAACACCCCCCAAACTTATATGCACATTTTGGGTGTCTCTGCATATATGCATTTTGCAGGACAGAGGGCTCACAGCATTCACTGGGTTTCAATCAGTAAACTAAATGCCAAGAACTACTGATTGGTAAGTACTACAACTTAAAAAAAGAATTTCTATTCCTTCCTTTCAAAAGTGAAGTTGCTAATAAGAAAATATGGAGAACTTAGGAAGGGTTTAAAAGTGACGACTAGGCTGGGCACGGTGCCTCACGCCTATAATGCCAGCACTTTTAGGTGGATCACTTGAGCCTAGGAGTTTGAGACAAGCCTGGCCAACATGGTGAAACCCTGTCTCTACTAAAAATATAAAAATTAGCCAGGTTGTGGTGGCACGTGCCTGTAATCCCAGCTACTTGGGAGGCTGAGGCAGGAGAATCGCTTGAACCCGGGAGGCAGAGGTTGCAGTGAGCCAAGATCATGCCACTGCACTCCAGCCTGGGCAACACAGTGAGACTCCATCTCAAAAAAAACAAAAACAAAAACAAAAACAAAAACAAAAGTGACAACTAATGCTACTGAAAAGATCATTAATAAAGGTGATAAAAACTAGGACTGTTAGCCACAAAGAAAGGTGAGGTGAAACACAAGTTCTTTGGTGGGAAAATGTGTTGTGCTGTCTGTTGTAGCTCAAGTGAGCACAGGTAAGCACTGGCTTTGGATGTTGCTTTGGATGCTCTTTCTGGATATAAAAAAAAAAGACACCTTTGAATCACCATTTTTTGTTAAAATCACCTGGGTAAAGTTAAAAAGTAAGATTATTCTGCTTATATATTTTAAAGGGGGAAACTATATAATAAATTTGTAGGGTTATCTAACATGTATTTTGTAGATAAGCATTATCTGAGGTAGTCTATATTTAAAAGAATACTTCCAAAAAGAAGAAGAAATACTAGGGCAAGCTTGGGATACAGTTCAACATTCCTTAAAGTTGCTGAGTCAGCATCAAAAGATGCCTGGTAAAGATCCCCATATCGAGAAGCAAGGCTTCGAAATTCTTCCATGGACTGTTTCATCTATAAAAAAAATCAATTATGACAAATAAACATGCTTTCATTATTGTATAAACAACACAAAAATCAAAACATAAAAAAGCATCTTCAAACAATAACTCAAAAAAATACTGCAGTCTTTTCACTGTCATTCATCTTCATAAACTTTGTTAAATAAAAACAAAAATGGCAAATGAAATTATACATGTTCACAAGATTATTATATATGACATATAGAAACAAAAACATTTGTATTTTAGCTTCTTCAAGTTCCACTAAAATAATTTAGTTATAAACATTCTCAATTTTTTAAAAAAAATCTATGTCCTTTATCTTTATATAAATATGTAGCACCCATTGAGATACCATCAATCACTTTATCATTCTAATAACACATCAGCCTATTTTCAGTTAGACAGTTGAGTTAATAAACATTTATGATAATGTCTGAGTCAAACCACTGATTGTAAATTTCACAACTTTTCATCTTATAACTTCAAAAACCTCTAAAGTGTAAATAAAAAATGCACTGAAAGTTAAGACATGCCTGATTGGAGATGCGACCACACCTCTGAAGGTCATTTCCTAAGGTCATGGCAATTGTTGTGGCAATTGCAGGTGGAGGGCTTGTCTTCAGGCTATTACAAGTACAGATAAGTTGAGAGAAGGCTTGTAGAAGGTCAATCCTGAGTTTTACAAATTCACATTGAAAACTTAAAGGATTCAGTGGTGTACTAGCTGCCTGGAAAAAAAAAGAGATATTTAAGACAAAGTAAACATAACAGTGAGATGGGGGGCAGTACTAAGTATTTATTAGTTTGTGGTCAAGGGCAGTAGTTCTCTAAAAACACTGATGGATAAAGACCTAAATGATAAAAAGAGTAATGTAATATTAGAATGAAAAACATTGTTACTAAACACCAGCTCTGAAAAACTGTATGTACAATCACTATTCAAAGGTTCCTTACTGCCTACATTCACGAAGATCCCATAATATGTGGGTTGTCAAGAATATCATCAAGAAGATAATCATGGCTGGGAGTGGTGGCTCACGCCTGTAATCCTACCACTTCGGGAGGCTGAGGCAGGTGGATCTCGAGGTCAGGAGATCGAGACCATCCTGGCTAACACGGTGAAACCCTGTCTCTACTAAAAATACAAAAAAATTATCCAGGCATTGTGGCAGGCGCCTGTAGTCCCAGCTACTTGGGAGGCTGAGGCAGGACAATGGCATGAACCCAGGAGGCGGAGTTGCAGTAAGCTGAGATCGCGCCACTGCATTCCAGCCTGGGCTACAGAGCAAGACTCTGTCAAAAGAAAGAAAAGAAAAGAAAGAAAGAAAATCACATAAGGGATGCTTCAAGGACAGTACCATCCCCCAAATCCCCTATTACCTTGCTACCTTCCTAATCTGAAATTCCCATCACTGGAACCTTGAAAAGTTGGGGGCAAGAAAGAAAAAGAAAGATAAGGGCAGGAGAAATATGTTTCTAGACAGTCACTGTTTTTAAGAAATGAACATTGCCTCAAAGTTACCTGCTTCCACAGTAGCCCAAATTTTTCTTTTTCTTTATTTTTTATTTTTTTATTTTTTGAGACAGGGAATCATTCTATCACCCAGGCTGGAGTGCAGTGGCACAATCATTCTCACTGCAGCCTCAACTTCCTGGGCTCAAATGATCCTCCCACCTGAGTTTCCCGAGTAGCTGGGACTAAGGGTGTGCACCACCATGCCCGGCTAATTTTTTTTTTTTTTTTTTTTGAGACGGAGTTTCGCTCTTGTTGCCCAAGCTGGAGTGTAATGGCACAATCTCAGCTAACTGCAACCTCTATTTTCTGGGTTCAAGCAATTCTCCTGCCTCAGCCTCCCGAGTAGCTGGGACTACAGGTGCGTGCCACCATGCCCAGCTAATTTTTTGTATTTTTAGTAGAGACAGGGTTTCACCATATTAGCCAAGATGGTCTTGATCTCCTGACCTTGTGATCTGCTCGCCGCAGCCTACCAAAGTGCTGGGATTACAGGCGAGAGCCACTGCGCCCGGCTGTGCCCAGCTAATTTTTTTGTAGAGACGGGGTCTCACTATGTTGCTCGGGCTGGCCTCAAACTCCTGTAGCCCAGATTAATTTTAAAAATAATTTCTGAGTAGAGACTTCAGAAAGCACAGAGAGGACACCAAGGAAGAAGAGGTTATAACACATAAATAAGTTTCAATGAAGATGGAGGGGTGTCACGGGTAAGTCTTGGGTAGCATTAGCTAGGTAGAAAAGGTAAATGGTAAGGCAAGCCAGGGTGGACACAGAACTAAGAAAACCTTTAACTATTTGGCAACTGTCCTAGTGGAGATCCTAGCACTATCTAGTTTTAACAAAAGGCACATATTAAAAATGTGCTAATTTAACAATAAACGGAAGCATAGTGAAAATCTTCCTCTATGACATGACACACTTAAAACACACTGATGCTGTTTCTTAGATACTATCTCACATTAGTCTTTCAGCAAAAGAGCCAGACATAATTTTGGGGTTCTAGCAGTCAGTTACAACATTATCCGGCCAATTTTATCTCATACTGACCTTAGCACAGCCGTCTCTACTATTAAGTGTCAAATGATCTGTTTTATTATTTGGTAGCATTCAGATTTTACTCTACAAATTAGTAAACCACTCTCCGTATATATATATTTTTAATTATACTTTAAGTTTTAGGGTACATGTGCACAACGTGCAGGTTTGTTACATATGTATGCATGTGCCATGTTGGTGTGCTGCACCCATTAACTTGTCATTTACATTAGGTACATCTCCTAATGCTATCCCTCCACACTCCTCCCACCCCACAACAGGCCCTGGTGTATGATGTTCCCCAACCTGTGTCCAAGTGATCTCATTGTTCAATTCCCCCCTATGAGTGAGAACATGGGGTGTTTGGTTTTCTGTTCTGGTGATAGTTTGCTCAGAATGATGGTTTCCAGCTTCATCCATGTCCCTACAAAGGGCATGAACTCATCCTTTTTTATGGCTTCATAGTATTCCATAGTGTATATGTGCCACACTTTCTTAATCCAGTTTAACATTGATGGACATTTGGGTTCATTCCAAGTCTCTGCTATTGTGAATAGTGCCGCAATAAACATACATGTGCATGTGTCTTTATAGCAGCATGATTTATAATCCTTTGGGTATATACCCAGTAATGGGATGGCTGGGTCAAATGGTATTTCTAGTTCTGGATCCTTGAGGAATCGCCACACTGTCTTCCACAATGGTTGAACTAGTTTATAGTCCCACCAACAGTGTAAAAGCGTATCCTTCTTAAGAATGTATGCTTGCTCTAGTATTCCTCTCAAACCGCAAAGGCCCTTGATGAAACATTTTATATAAGGTAGAAGTAATAACTATACTCAACACATTTAATTCTGTGGTTTTTGACCTTCAGAATTATTTTGTTGTAATCATGAAACAGCACAGATTAGGACATTAAAGAGACTACTTAAATTGTTTTTAATTTCTCAGATGAGATCTGATTTGCTGTTATAGGAAGATAAATCCCCCCACCTCCTCTGCCTCTTAACACTGCTACTTGTTATTTTAAATTTATGTTTCTCAGCAACTTTAAAAGGGACAGGGGTACAAGTAAGTGTATGTGATACAGTTATATAAATACTACCAACCATCTTAACTGACAAAAAATACTGGCAATACTGTTCTAACACACATTATAAAACTGAAAGAGAAGAAAGATGTTGTAGTAAAGATCTGCTGCTACTCTGGATTTACCTCTAACAAGAAATATTTGATTGATGATAACCTTGAAGGTGATCGTGCCATCCTAGACCATGTTATACTGAAGGAAAGCAGTGTTACATACAGTACTAGTGTTCAAAAAGAAGAGACAGATTTGTAATAAAAGTCAAAGACTTTTATTTAAAGGGTAATATCATCTAATAACAATAGGAGATGTATAAGAAATAAGATTTGGATTATAGAAGTATGAAAAATGCCAATGAAAAATAAAGGGATCTCATTTCTTTCCACTGGGGCTAAAGCTTAAACAGAGGTTGGGTTCTAACATCAGGAGATAAAGCAAACATTGTGTATAATCAAAATTACCCCTGAAAATTCCTCAGGAATGAATTATTTCCAGTTATTTCAACATAGCCAGATGAAGGAACAACAAACTCAGAATTGTTTTCTAATGCTCATTCTGGGGTATAAGCTAATTGAGAAGAATGGCTGGCAGAATTGTCTCCACTATCCAAATAGTCTTTTTTTTTTTTTTTTGGTGAAACATATAGAGTTAAATGTGTGTTAAACAGGCATATAATTAATACTATTTCACTGAATTTCTGATTTGTATTACATATACTGTTTTCTAAACAGAGCTAGCTAAAGAAACCAATATAGCTGGAAAAAAGCTACCTGATAAGCTCATATTATTGTGAAAGAGGTCTCCAGAACTTTTTTCATCTAGTAGAACTGAAACTTTATACTCATTAAACAACAAACTCCCCCTTTTCCCTTGCCTCAAGCCCCTGGCAACCACTATTCTACTCTCTGTTTCTAAGAATTTGACCACTTTAGATATCATATAAGTGGAACCATACAGTATATGTCTTCTGTGACTGGCTTATTTTACTTAGCATAAGGTCAGTTTTTAAAAGAATAAGCCAAGCCTAAAGCTAGGAGAAACTAGATTAAACCAGCCCTCCTACTAAGACCAACTGGGAAAATGGAACAAAATATTTAAAGTATCTATGTGAAAGCACTGAAGAACTACTAAGGTTATAAGGACCTGTGGAACCAAAATCATGAAGAGAAGGAAAACCCAAAAAGGTAGTCCTGAATATGCTAATTTGAAAACTGCTACTGAAAAGCTGAGCAGAGTTTTCAGAGGTCTCATAAAACTAGAAAGGACTGTGGAAAATACTTCATTCAGGCTTTCTGCTGTAACCTCAAAGAACTATACCCTAGGAATCAGGAGAACCCAAAAATATGCTGACCCTCACAAGGACTGAAGCCTAGATTTGAATCAGTTCAATCTCTGGCTGAATTACGGTGATCTACCCTTACCCTAAGCGCCTGTCAAAAGAAAGGAAAAATAATTTAAGGCTCTTATAATGTAATACCTATCATTTTTCAAATACACTGTCCAAAATTCAATAAAAAATAACCAAGTGGCTGGGAGCGGTGGCTCACACCTGTAATCCCAGCATTTTGGGAGGCTGAGGCAGGCAGATTACGAGATCAAGAGTTCGAAACCAGCCTGGCCAACATGGTGAAACCCCGTCTCTACCAAAAATACAAAAAAATTAGCTGGGCGTGGTGGCACACACCTGTAATCCCAGCTACTCAGGAGGCTGAGGCAGAAGAATTGCTTGAACCCGGGAGGCGGGGGTTGCAGTGAGCCGAGATTGCGCCACTGCACTCCAGCCTGGGCGACAGAGCTGGAAAGACAGTGCTGGCACGTAGGGAAAAAATATAATAACCAAGCATACAAAAATGACAAAACTCCACAAACCAAGAGGGGAAAGAAAGTAAAAAACACAAACAACAATAGATCTAGATAGCAGAGATATCAGATATGAACTTTAAAATAACTATGATTAATATGTTAAAAAATTAAATGACAAGATGGAGAAGCCTAGTTGAAAAGTGGAAAATATAAAATAACCAATGTTTAATTAATGGGTTTAACAGCAGATTAAACAGTGAAAATATTAATGAACTAGAACATAGGACAGGAGAAAACATGTTTTAATTTTATTTTTGGTAGAGATGGGGGTCTCGCTTTGTTGCCTAGGCTGGTCTTAAACTCCTGGCCTCAAGCCAGCCTCCCAAAGTGCTGGATTTACAGGCACGAACCACTGTACCTGACCGTTACTTCTTTAGATATTGCTTCTGTCCCTTTTTCTTTCATTTAGGGCTTCAGTTGCACAAGCATGTTGAAATTATACAGAAAGGGCTGGGCACTGGGCTCACGCCTGTAATGTCAGCACTTTGGGAGGCCGAGGTGGGTGGATCACCTTAGGTCAGGAGTTCGAGACCAGTCTGGCAAATATGGGTGAAACCCTGTCTCTACTAAAAATACAAAAATTAGCCAGGGATGAAGAGTGCCTGTAATCCCAGCTACTTGGGAGGGTGAGGCAGAAGAATCACTTGAACCTGGGAGGTGGAGGTTGCAGTGAGCTGAGATCATGCCACTGCACTCCAGCCTGGTGACAAGAATGAAACTCAGTCTCAAAAAAAAAGAAAAGAAAAGAAAAAGAAAAAATTATAAAGAAAGTCAATGGAACAGTAAACACAAGATTCAAAGTACTGTTACCTTTGTGGGAAGGAAACAGTGTACAAATGTGGAGGCACACATAAGAATTTTACTTTTTTTGTTTTGGAAACAGCGTCTTGCTATGTTACCCAGGGTGATATTCACAAGCATATAAGAATTTTAAAGGCAATGGTAATGTTCTATTTTCTAACTGGATGTTTGGATATTTGTTGTGTTTTTTTATGCCCTACATAATACATATGTAGATATTATGCCTATTCAATATTTAATAACAAAAATTAAATGATTAAAAAAAAAAACTATTGTAGGTAGAATGCTAAGCTGGTTCCTCTGATTCAAGTTCCCTGGTATCCACACCTTAGGCAGGCTGAATATCACTAGTTTAAAAACCTAAAATCTGAAATGATCCAAATTCTGAAATGCTCCAGAATCTGAAATTGACACGATGTTCAAAGGAAATGTTCATCGGAGCATTTCAAATTTTGAATTAGGGAGGCTCAACTGGCGTAATGAAAATATTCTAAAATCCAAAGAAACCTAAAAATATAAAACACTCCTGGTTCCAAGCATTTTACATTAAGGAATACTAAACCTACAACATCTTCTTTTGAAGGTAGATAGCACCCAAAACTTGCTTCTAACTAATGGAATATGGCAAAAGTGATGAGATTTTGAGGATATAGTTTAGGTCCGTAATGAACTGACTTTAGATTAGTAGAAAGGGAGATCATTCGGAGTGAATCGGATCTAATCAGTTGAGGCCATTAAAAGAGGGTGAGAGATTCTCTTGCTGGTTTGGAAGAATCAGGTTCCACAAGTTCTTCAGGTGCAAGGAAATAAATTCTGCAACAAATTCATGATCTTAGAACAGGACCCTGAGCCTCCTTGAGCCTCAGATATCTGAGACTGGCCCTCACAGACACCTTGATTGCAGTTTTGTGATATCGTGAGCAGAGGACCCAGCTAAGCCATGCCTGGACTACTACTACTGCTACTACTACTACTACATTTTTTTTTTTTTTTTGAGACAGAGTCTCAGACTGGAGTGCAATGACAAAATCTTGGCTCACTGTAACCTCTTCCTCCCAGGCTCAGGTGATTCTCCCACCTCAGCCTCCTGAGTAGCTGGGACCACAGGCATATGCCACCACGCCCAACTAATTTTTATTTTTTTTGTAGAGACGGGGTTTTCCAACATTGCCCAGGCTGGTCTCAAACTCCTGGGCTCAAAATACTGGGATTACAGGCATAAGCTCCCACGCCTGGCCTATGCCTGGACTTCTGACCTACAGAAACTGTGAAATAATAAATAGGTATTGTTTTAAGCCACTAAACTTGTAGTAATTTGTTACACAGCACAGAAAGCTAATATAAATACTTTTTAGAATTTTTATTCCTAAGAAAAAAGACAACTCTATCATTAATCATTGTATTGAGAAATTAAACACCTAACTTTGCTATTGGGTCTCCATAAACAAAGAATTTTGAACTTCTCCTGTTTAGTGTGGCTGAAGCAGATAAAAAGCATGATCCTCAAAGCTGTACGATCTCAGGTATGGATCATTCACATCAGTAAGTTAAAAGGCGCAGTACATGCTCATATTTACTCAGTTAAAAAGACAGAAAGCAACTGTCAAATCCACACTTACCAAATGAACAGGTTAAAAAATAAACATAAAAAAAGTCCTCAAAAAATCCCTGAGAGTATATAATACAATCAGAGTTGTGGGAAGTTTCCAACAACTCTGAGGATCATACTGCCTTCCCCTATAGTCTACACTCAAGTGAAGAATTATTTCCTGTTTTTCTTAATCCTAAAAGCACAGTGTTTGACACATAGCAAGTGTTTATGATCTGTGAATAAAATAACTCAATTTCAAAAGGAGAATATCTGAGGCCCAACGACCTACCCAAAGTCACACTGTGTTAATGGCAGAACCAAGACTAAGGTAAGGTCTCCTCTCTGTGAATCAAGTGCTTTCTTCCTGTGTCAATTCAATACTAAATTATTGTCAACCCTCGTTAAATACAACACATACCATAGAAATCATTAACCGAGTATTAAATATTCAAAATAATTTTTCATAAAATTAATTCCATCTGCCTTACTGTTTTGTGAGCCTGTCTGTCCAAAGTTCTTACCACTTATGGTACTAAATAATTAACAATTTTCTGCTCCACATAAACTAGAAAATGAAATCGTTCTACTGATCTGAATCAATAATTATACTTTTAATTTTCTGAGGCATTTATTAGCCTAATATAGGAAACAACAATCTCTTCCCAGAATAATCAAGAAAGAATCAAAGTAGTTAATGCTACCCTTTAGATGGAGAGGAGCCTATACTCCTTTTTTAAACAGTCATCAATTAATCCTAGTAAAAAAAATATATAAAATACTTCAAAATATATGTGCCTCACAGTAGTGTGAATATTCTCTTTACTGACACCTGCTTTTTCTACTTTGAAACATTTCTTTTGAAATAGCCCACCATTCAAAACATTTTAGATATGTTATAAATGTACGTAAACAGGTACCAAAAGTTTTATGGTCCCATCTCAATACATACAATTTTAAGTGTCATGTGACAGTATTTTAAAAATATTTAATGTTGATTATATAACTTCTTTACTTTTAAAGGGAAAAAGCCCTTGCATTAATACAAAAAATGCTGATTTTAGGGAATAGGTTCCTACTTAGGAATTTAACTAATTTCAAGGAAACATAAGGATCTCTTTGCAACCCTTTCAATTTCTTGGCAGAGATAACAGAAATTGTATCTAGCTAATAGTTAATGTGGAGTAGGAGGATATCACAGAGAGGTACAAATGGGACACTAGAATCTTTGATAATTTCTCTTTATCTGTAAAGCAAGAAACTCTAGTTACTTAGTCAGTAGTTGCCAGGTATGAGATGAGGTCAGGGGTTTATGTTTGATGGTGGTACTGATGCATTGCAGGCTGGAATCTTACTAGTAAGAGTCTGTAGAGGGAGGATCCTATCTCCACACCACTTACCCATTCTGCATGGATTCAGCAATCCTCTTCACATTTTATGTTAAAAAGTGGTACCCAATTCTTTATAACAAGAAAATGATAAACTTTTATCAATCTAAGAATGTTAAAAAGGGGAAAAGGTTTATTTTCATGACCTACTTCTTATAGTCAAATACATATCAGCAGGTTTCTCAAGTTAGTTGAAATAGGCCAATCCAAAAAGAGAAAGGAGAGAACTCTCACACAAGTCATCATCACCAAAGGTGAATTAAGAGGACTTACTGTTAAGGAAGCAATCCCTTTGTGATAAAATTTTAAAGATTCAGCAATGCAAGAAAGTGCTGAACTATAATTTTCCTCTTGCAGCCCAGTGAGACATTGTTCTGCATGTGAAAACTCCTTCAAACTATTTAGCCAGAAGTAGAAGTGTTCTGAGGCCACCTGAGTCAGCAAACTCTGATAAAGCTCTTTGGCCATGTCATGATTACCCTAAAAACAAAAAAACAAAAGAAAAAAGAATAGAAGGAGCACATGGTGAGGTTCTTACATTGAAAGAGTTGATGTAGCAGCTAAAAGAGAAACCCAAACCTTGGATAAGTCTGAAGAATCATTCCTCATATTATATAATTCCCTGAGACTCTGTCTAAATATTTCCTCAGAGAAAATATGCTGAGTTGCTTTTATGTAACATAATGCTTGAAATTCTTTACTAAAACAGTTCCAAAAGAGAAAATAAATGGAATTAACTATAAACCAAGTCTAGAACTTTAGCCCAAAATATAGAAAGTATAAATACTTTTTAATGCTGTTCTAAATGAACTATTCAGTGGGTAAGAGAAACCCCAGGGGAAAAGGCATAGCTGTTGGGAGAAATGTGAATAGCACTTAATGCCTGGGGCCAGGGATGCTCAATGTCCTGTAATGCTTGGGACAGAACAGTAAAATAAAGAGCTGTCCTGCCAAGAGTGTGTGCTCCTCCCCCATTTGAGAAGCAACATAAAATTAAGAACATGCACTTCAATCACCTAGAGTAATGCTTTCTCAAACTTTGGTCTCTGGACTTCTCCCCAAACGATTTTTTTTTTTTTTTAATTTAGTTTTAGTAGAGACAGGCTTTTGCTATGTCAGCCAGGCTGGTCTCAAACTCCTGACCTCAAGAGATTTGCCCACCTTGGCCTCCCCCAAAGTATTGAGATTACATGCATAAGCCACCCCACCCGGCCAGGATTTCTGTACTAACCAAGGTTTCTATTTCCTCTCAAACAAAATTAATAAAACTTGTTAGGCTTTCCATATGGCTGAGAAGAGTACAGCATACTAAAGCTTTCCCATTTCTACTTCAGAATGACATGGTTGGGGAGAGGAACAAAGATGTGGTATACTCAGAAAGGAAGATAGAAACAGCGGGTGGTAGGTGGCCTTGGTTATAACGATACAGAGCAAAATGAAAGTGGCACTAACAACCTACAGCCAGAAAGGGCCCAGATTTTAACTTCCTCATTACTAATACCAACAACATATATACCATTCTTTTATGATAAAAGTTAAAAATCAGGTCCTTTCCTTCCTCATCTTCAGAACCCATGACTAAAAGGTACTTCAACTTTATTTTTAGTTTTGACTACGACTAATAATCATACAGTTGAAGGTACATGACCTGACATTTCCGCCAACCCAGTTCACTCAGAAGGGTAACACATACCATTCTGGAAGCCTGTCTGGCAATACGGTATACAGTCCATCCATTGGAGACACTTTCAAGCTGCTGCTTAATTACTGCCTTACTTTCCACAGATAATGCCTTCTGACTTGCTACAAAAATCACAGTAGCCAAACTCACCTAACATTGGGCAAGAAGAAAACCAAGAAAATCATTTAATTTTATCCAGTGTCATTGATAACCTACCCCAAAGGGAGGAAAACTAATTAGAGCCCACTGCCAAAGAACAAAATTTGTTTTCCATTGACATTTATTTAATTTTTTATTTTGAAGTCATTAAGTAATTTATTCCATTCACTCAGGGCACTCTTTATAATAACAAATAAGTAAAGCAATATCCACAATATGGATACATAAATTATATAACATAATCACACAATGAGACACGTAAGTAAAATGGATAAACTAGAGATAGACTTACCAATATAGATGACAAGGAAAATAGGCAAAAATATGCAAAATGCAAAAGATTACAAGCAGTATGATAAAGTTTACAAAAAGTTAAAAATATGCAAAATACTGCATATTACTTAGGCATATACACTTTGGTAGTAAAAGAATAACAGGCATGGGAATGATAAATATCAAATTCAGGATAGTGGTTACCTAAGAGAAGGGAGAAGATGCTATCAGCAAGGTACACAGGGGGCTTCAACTAAACTGTTAATACCTTTTTCTTAAGCTAGATAATGAATGGAAGAGTTTTCACTGTATTATTCCTTATATTTTTTTGAGTATTACATTTTGTAATTTAAGACTATCTTAAAGTAGTACTCACAAAAAAGATATCAGGACCATTAGTTCAAAATGCCACTACATAATAAATAACTTAGCTAACTGCCTCTTAATATTTCAAAGCTGATTCATATAAAGATCCATACATTTGGTCATCAAGGTAACCTTTTCTGGCAGTAAATGATGAGATGGTGTCAATCTTTTATACAATTCCCTCTGGAGGATTAAATATAAAACAGGCTTGAATAAGTCATTTCATTATATTTCTTCCCACAATATGGAATGGCAACCTTACAACTTTCATTTAATTTACAATTATTTAGAATATAGCCTACTCTCAGTCCTGCAGAACTTTTCAACTAAACATCTTATAGCTTCCACAGTTTCTGTTTCTTTCTAAGCATGTACCTTTCCTAACCCCAAGGGTCTGCAGAAGCCTCAACTGAATCCTAAACAGCTAAAGAAGTCCCGGAATGGAAAACATAAATTTGGGCTAATTTATGGTCATTATTGTCATTAGATTTTTAACTTCTATTTTCTGAAGTACAAAATAGGGTTTAGTTCATTATTTACTTTGTATAAGGAAGAAAAAAGTTTCATTTTCATTTTGTCCTTTGTAATAAAAGAAAAACATGAGATTGAAGGCTTTGGCTATACTAAGCTGATTTGACAGGGTTTAGGAAGAAAGCAGTTTTAGAGGTGAACAAAACATGGCTTTCTAAATCACAAGTGAAAAAAGTAAAAAGCTCATACAGCCAATTCTATTTTGACATCAGCACACTCTTTGGTCTTAGGTAATGAATTTAACCTATTGTTCGTTCTGTTTTTTAAGTAAAGTCAAACAGTAATGTTAACTTAAAAGTAATTCCCACTAGACCAGATCCTAGTCATTCAAAGGAGATTCAAAATGTGGCTTTTTACCAGAAGTTCTTGTTGCTTGTCTGTGGCTGATCGTCCAATCACCTTGTACAGTTCCATGAGGTCACCAAGCATCCCATCACCCAGCACCGGCAGTTGCATGGCAATGGCTGCCAGGCAATGGCACATCAAAATCCGGGCAGCATCTTGAGCACTGTGCAACTGAGTCAACAAGGTCTCAACCACTGACTGGCTAAGATGGGGCCTGCCCTTGGCTAACTTCACCATACAGTTTAGAGCAATCTGCATGCCAAAAAGAAAATTAACTAGTTACATTTTGAAGATACAGAGGAAGCTTTAAAGAAAAGAGCTTTGTACAGGTTATTGGGGAAAATCAAGGGCGAGGTTTCTTGTAGGCATAGCATTTTTCTTTATAAGAAACACGAGGTACTGAATCCCACATTAGGGTTTGTGAAGTGCACCACATTTAAAATAACAAATTAGGACTGCACGTCAACCACTCATTTCAATCTAAGACTATCAAAATACTTTTAAGAAAGATGGAATCATAAGGAAGAATGCTGAAGAGGCAAATATATGCCAAATGTCACCATCATTGTACTATCATTACTTTTCAGGAACTGCTTCTGAAGTGTGGCTTATAAACTATGCCAGCATCTCCCAGAAGGAAAATAAAAATATAGATTCCTGGGCCCTACCCTAATGAATTAACATACGTGTGTGTGTGTGTGTGTGTGTGTGTGTGTGTGTTGAGGCTACCGAGGGTTCACAGTTTTAAAAAGATGCCTTAGATGACTCTAAGTACACTCAAGTGAGAAAGAGATTCCTAATTTTCTCTTATTTCTCAACTGAAATCTAAAAATCAATTTGGCTACAGAATTTCTCTTATTAAGGCCTTGTTAAAGGCATCACTAATATCCAGTAAAAAAACTAGAAACCTAGAAATATTCCCACTTTTACATAGCTAACATATTCTTTTGTCAAATCTCCAATATTCACTGTTAGCGCCTTTCCAATCTCTCTACCACATCATAAATCTCTTCCTAATTCCAATTTCTTGAAAAGATGGGCCCTTCAATCCATCCTTCACAATGCAAACACGCAGTCATCAGTGGGGTGTTAGGCACACACATAAACTTTAGAGTCTGATAAATGCAAGGGCTGAAGCTCAGCTTGCCGCTTATTAGCTAGGTGGCTTTGAACAAGGTACTTCCATCTCTCTCAGCCTTAAGTTTCTGATGTGTATAAGAGAGAAACACATTTCATTATAGGGTTATTGAGGGACTGAAAGAAATGTATAATATAAGTTTTCAACGAAGTTTGGCACATAATAGACATTCAAATAACAATAACTATGACAAAGGTTACCATTACTTTAAATTATAATATCTCCTCATTATCTATAGAATCAAAGCCATAATAGCATGCTATTTGATATCCTCTATGATTGAACTACTTTTCCAATCTCACATTATTTCATCCAGCCACAGTGGGCTAGTCACCATTCTTCCACCACAACAGGTACATTCTTACATTCAAGTCTTTTATAATAGTGGTCATTGGGCTCAAACAATCTTACCTCATTACTGTAATTCGATTCCACCTTTCACAACTTAACTCATATGACACTTATTTGAAGTCTTCCCTAATATCCTTGGTTAAAGTTAATCATTCCCGACTCTGACCTCTCATTAGAACTGCACTTCTTTTGTGAAGTATCAGAGAATGTATTGTGTTCTGCTTGGTATTATAGTCTCCTATATAAACATCAGTAGCCTATTCTAGACGGAAAGCTCTGCTATTACAGGAACCTTTCTTGGCCATCTATGTATGTCCCACTGTGCTGAATCCAGCATTTTACTGACACCCACAATTGTTGGAAAAAAGATTTGCTTTTAAAAAAAGTTTTAAATGTACTGTGGTTCCAAGGGGATTCTGAGGATCCCCTCAGACTGTGTTGCCAAACACCTGTTGTCTACTTCTCTTCTCTACTTCTTATTAGCTTTCATTTAATGATATTACTATCTTTATTGTTCATCACTATGACCATATCACTACTTTCCTTAACATGCTAAAATGAGCCATGACTTCCTGGAAACCATACCTTAGACAAGCTAACGCTCTTACATGTACCAATGTTTATCTAACAGTTTCTTACTTCTATTAACTATGCTTTTCCTTATTAATTTTGCACCATCACAAATTATATTTCATGTTTCACTCCAAAAAGAGTAGTCTCACTTCACATTTTAATTTTTTTTTTTTTTTTTTTTTTTTTGAGACAGGGTCTCATTCTGTCACGTAGGGTAGAGAACAGTGGTGCAATAATGGCTCACTGAAGCCTCAGCCTCTCGGGTTTGAGCGATCCTCTCACCTCAGTCTCATGAGTAGTTAGGACTATAGGTGTGTCCCATCATGTCCAGCTAAACTTTAAAAAATTTTTCCAGAGATAGGGTCTCAGTATGCTGCCCAGGCTGATCTTGAACTCCTAGGCTCATGCAATCCTTCCACCTTGACCTCCCCAAAATGCTGAGATTACAGTGCCTGGCCTCATTTCACATTTTAAAAATCTTACACATCTCTAAGATGATTTCCGTAACTGAGTGAAAGTGAAAATTCCTTAAAATATTCTTCCCTTGGCTTATAAACTAGGGCTTATGCCATTGGGAAATTAATGAACGCTTATGTTAAATTAATGAATATTTCTGAGTTTGGCTGCAGTCATTTCATCAGTTTTTTTTTGTGGTTTTATCAGTTAGATTAAATCAGTGTGGCTTTATCAGCTAGATATAATCACTTAGATTAAAACTTCTAAGAGTACCAGAGCTATATCTGCTTAACTTTGCTTTCCATTGCCTAAGACCATCATATATATCTATTACAACTTAAAAAATAAAAGTTTTCACCTTTAAAGTGGCCTGAGCACCTGGACTATCATCTTGACTACAAAGTACCAGTAGGGATTCCAGGCCAAAGACAGCGTCTTGTTCCAGTGCCAAAAGATCTAGAAGAAAAACACTAAGCTTTATGATGGTCAAGTGATGTGTGTATAAACACACACACACATATATATGCAAACACACATGCTCTCTTAGAAAAAACATTAAGGATTTAAGATACAGGGAATTATTAAATGGATGAACCTAACCTTCCTTGAAAAAGTACACGTGGCATTACTTCAAGAATGTAAAGTCTATCTTCAGACTTTATTTCTACCACTTTATTGAAGTATTTATAAAAATATACACATTAAATCAAGAGCTAAAGCCACAAAGCTATAAATAAAGCAAAACTGAAATAGTATCACCAGCTTAGCTAAGGAAAATACTAAGAACAGCAAACTATGCAGTATGTGTTAATCTCCCTAATCAGAAATAAATTATGCAGGTCCATTTTTACCCAAGATATAACAGTTTTCAGCTTCTAATGAAAGCTGAACCACTTTTAGAAAATAATGACTCCATATAACCTTATTAATGTTTTAAGTCTGACCATAAAGAATGAACCTCTTAGATGTCTCATGAAATAGCAGTACTACAACAACTTTTCACTACCATAGGGTTAAAATTTCTCTGAAGGTTTTAGAAAGTTCTGAATATATTAGTTACCTTTAGGTTAATATATTTCAGTGTGTTCTCAACACTGAAACAAGCAGTTTTCTATGTTACATGGGAGAAAATACTCTTTGCTATGCCAATGTAACACAGGCTTAATTATTCAACTTTAAGAAATGTTTCCTGAGTGTTGGAGCTTAGCAGAGTAAAGGCTAGTGAAGGTCAGGTTGCTAGAAAAAACAGGTACTTGGAACAAGCAGTGCAGAAGGATAGGGGGGATAAGAGGAACCACTAAGCTTGTAATCCTTAATAAAGATCAAAATCAGCACTGAAACAGATGGAATATCCAAAATGCATTTCTTGTTCTTGAACACAAGTCAAAAGATGTTAGGTAGACAACAAAATATGTACATTATTTTCCTTGCATGTCCTCGATTATGCAAGTCAGCTTAATGCCACATATACCTAGAGTAAATTCTGTGAAAATTTAATTCACATTGGTCTGCGAATTCACTTGCCTCTAGGTGAAACTATTTGTTATTTAAGTCCCTTGAGAACCTAAGTAAATTTTATAGGTTTTTGTATAAGTGAACATATCACCTTATACAAAAGGGGTAGAGTACTAAGCAATCTCTATCCACCAGCACCATATACGCAAAGGCAAGCAGTGGAAGGAAATGGGCAATGCTCCATAAAACCTTTCAATTCCACTCCCAAGGTCTTAATCTCTTTATTATTTTTCACAAGGATAAAGTAGTCTTGAGAACACATGTTCTAAGAACACTATGAAAGGAGTCAATCTGTAGATCAAGGCTCACAGGCTAAAAATAAGGGATTGAAAAAAATCAAACAGAATTCTGTCCAAGGTCTAAACCAAAGTTTATATATAATATCAATCCTGATCAAACTTACCTTTTTCTTGACAAGAAACAGTTATATTAGTTAGGACTCTAACTCCATGAGCTGCAATGCCCCTGTTATTATGGTAACAGCACTCTTGGGCTAATTTGACTAAATCAGAAGATCTGGGAGGAGAACTCACATTTCCTAAAAAAGCAGAGAAAAGTAGTAGAGACTCTAATTCAAATAATTCAAAAACAGTTCAGCTTATAGGTTCAATTTTCTTAATTTTTGAGAAAAATCTCTAACAATAAACTTCAACGAAATTTCCTACCACAATCCCACTATCAATACGTATCTGCATTTCTCTCCATTAACGTACTTAAAATAGGTATGTGCCAACAGTTTTGTAATGACTAAGATCTAAAATCAACATATAATTTCTTAAAAAATATTAATAAAAATTGACTAACAGTACAAAAGCCAAAACAACTATCCTAAGAGTTCAAAGGAATTCTCATTAAAACAGGTATCATTATAGGCCTCTTGTCAGACAAAACCACACTTTCAAGATAGGAGAGAAAAGAGAAAAAAAAAATAAGTTTGCTTTTTTTTTCCATCTCAGATTGCTGGCATACATTTATACCTCAAAGGGTTTACATAAGAATTCATGATTTTAGAGCTGGAAAGAATTTTGGAATCATCTAACTTAACACACCCTATTTTTACAGATGAAATCAAAGCCCAAAGCCCCAAAATTTTAAGAATCTTGCCATTAAGGTCATAAAACTTACTAGTCATGTACTAATGCCCCTGTTATTATACTCTTCTGCTTTATACCTTAAATTTCATGCTATAGATTGCAAAATTTTTTAAATTCACATTTGAAATTCTGGAATGCAAGGTTCATGTTGTAACTATTGTAATTTACAGTAGAGAAGCCCTCAGTTATAACTGCATAAGCTTCAAGAAAATAAGGAGATTAAAGCTTGTTCCACCACTTAAAAGAGTCTCCCATTACTGTCTTCCTTTCCTCTGCTTATTTTTCCATGATTCCTGTCAACTTCAACTTTGTCTCTCATACCGAGGGTGACTGTATTTTTTTGAGGCTGAAAGGGACACTATTAAGAATTACAATAGGCATAAACCATGACTATCTGAGGTAGTGTGGGACCTATGGTCACTTTATTGATTTCTGGTTTAATATAATACAAGCTTAGGAGACAGCCTCAGTGTTTTTTTGGTTTTTGTTTGTTTTGTTTTGTTTTTTTTTGAAACAGTCTCACTCTGTTGCCCAGGCTGGAGTGCAGTGGTGCAATCATGGCTTACTAGAGATCACAGCTCACTACAGTCTCAAACTCCGGGACTCCAGCCATTCTCCCACCTCAGCTTCCAAGTAGCTGAGAACACAGGTGCATGGCACCATACCCGGCTAATGTTTTTGTTTTTTGTAGAGACGGGTTCTTGCTTTGTTGCTCAGGCTGGTCTCAAACTCCTGGCTTCAAAAGATCCTCCCAACTTAGCCTCCCAAAGTGTTGGGATTACAGGTATGAGCTACCATGCCTGGCCCCTTCAGTGTTTTTAAGTTAGGCAAAACATTAGAAAGATGAAACTGTATCTTTATTTTTTCAAAACTGTGGAAATTGTATTTCCTCTATTCTTTTTGTCCATGTGATATGCACAATGCGGAGTCATCTATAAATTTACAAACATGTTTTATAACTTATTTTTTCTTTGTTTTATTCCCAGCAACACTCACCATAGAAAACTTAGGGGGAAAAAAAAATAGAAAACTCCAAAGAACAATACAAATATCATACCAAATTTCACAAACCAGCATAAGCTTACTGTTAATTTTCTGAAATATTTCTTTTAAATCTTTGTCCCCCTATGTACAACAGTACAATTTAAAAACTCACACATAATCAGGATATGTAGATACTGGCCAATATCCTGCTTTTAAAATCTAATATTTTTTCGCCTTTTCCTATGTTTTCTAGGAATAAGATTATTTTTAATTTAATTTTTATTTATTTTGTAATGATTTTCTAAGATAAACTCACAAGGCTCGCACGGTACAACAAAGAGTAGAAAACGGTAAAAGGCTAGTGAGAGAAAAGTTTTCCTCCCCGACCCAATGTTATCAGCTTCTTGTGTAACTTTCCAGAGAGTCTATCGACTTACAAGCACATTTCTTTCTTTCTTTTTCCTTTTCACATACTGTTTTGCACCTTGTTTTATTTTTCTTTAAATATTATCTCATGGAGACTGTTCCATGCCGTGTTTTCTTTTTAGTAAATTGCATTGATTTTTATTGCAGTGATGTGTCATAATTTCTTTGAGTCCTCTATTGATGGACCTTTTAATGCTATTACATCCTCCACTGAGGGATAATATTTTGCTATTATATAAAATGGTGCTAAGAATAATCTTGTATTTATGCCATTTCTCAATGTGTGACTATGTAAATAAGATAAATTCCTAGAAGTGGAATGTCTGGGTTATCTGTAATTTAATGAGTATTTCCAAATCACCTATGTACAAGCTTAATAATTTACATTCGCGGCAGCAATAACTGCTTACCCACACCCTTGTCGACACACCATGTTTATCAAACTTCTAAATCCCTGCCGATCTGATGGATTAAAATTATTTCAAGTGTTGTTTTAAGGTGCATTTATCTTAAATATGTCTGATATTGAACATCTTATATATTTGAGCCATTTGTTAGTGATGATTTAGACATACTAAATTTAAGTTTGCTGTTTAAACTACTTTTGGCTACACTGAAAAAAACCTAATCAACAGAAATAAAGATTTACCATTATTTATGGAAATAATCTAACTTTGGAAAATCCTTGACTTTTATTTTTTATAAATATTATCTAGTCTATTTAAGCCTTTGCTTAATTCCATATATAAGCCAAAATTAACAAACTTCAATAAAAGGACAAATACCTAGCTTGAAAACTGTTTAAATATTATAACCCGACATAATGCTAATACATGTATTTGGAATTAAAAAATAAAGAAAAAGAAAGTTATCATGCATGTAAGTCAGTTTGGTACAAAAAAGAGAATTCTGAGTCAGACCACTGAGTTCAGGCCTAGGCTCATACACTTCACAAGTATGTGAACTTTGGACATATCGTCAAACCTTTGTGAGTCTCAGTTTCAATACTTATAAACTCCTTTGCATATGCCTCACTTGAAAGGCTACTTGTATGGGAAAGCTCTCACCTATTCTAATATATGATTAAGACTTTGTCTACCACAGCTCTTTCAAAGTGCAATGTCGGTGAAGGATGTTAACTGCAAGCTAAGAAATACACTGGCTGATTTATGCAGAAAAAGAATAAATTGAAAGCACCCTAGGTATATGGTAGGTTGTTTCTAAAGAAGGCTGTGATAATCTCTCACATCCCTTGTGGACATGCTCCTTTACCATGTGATCTTCCAATTCCATGTGACTTGCTTTGGCCAATAAAGCACTGGAAAACAGGCTGCAAGCAAAAGGTTGACAAGTGCTTGTGTGTTGGTGGCTTGCTTTCTTTTAGCTCCAACCAACATCCTGAAAACAAGCCCAAGCTAGCCCACCAAGAGTTGCATGGATAAAAACTAAGGTGCCTTGGCAGAAAGCCTTTCAATTTCTAGCATGTGAATGAGGTCATCTTAGACCATCTAATCCTGGTCATACATGACTGTAGTCACATAAGTGACCCCGAGTGAGGCCAGTAGGACTGCCCAGCTAAGTACAGTTAAAATGGCTGATTGACAGAATTAGAGCAAATAAAAAGGTCATGGTTTTAAGCTACTCGTTTTGGGGTGATTTTGTTATGTAGCAATAAATAATTGATAATGTACTTCACAGAATCACTGGAAAGCCTGTAAAATTAATAGGAAAACAAGGTCAGAAAACAAATAAGCAAAAGGCCAGGGAGTAACCAAGACCACAGCCCAAAAGACCATGCATGGAATTAGTCCAGTGAGGACACAGCAGCCATTGTTACTGATTATTTCACGTCACAGCTTAACTTCTGTCACAGGGTACCAGACATAGCAAACACCCACTGCTAGAGTATATTCTGGAAACAAATGTTGCGCTGTCATTGCTATATCACCACATCCCCATTCTCTCATATCCCCACTTCCTTGTTGTTACTGGCTCCCAATTCAGTCTGTGGCATGGAAATGATTAGTCGAGTCCAGGCCACATGTAAGCACACTAGCTGGAAGGGAGGTGTGACAATAGAGTATCAGGTCTTTTTAGCATCCTATTAAGACTTACAGGGCAGGGAATTCCCTACACCTAGAAAGTATCATACACTATGCGGCCATAAAAGGGACAAACAAATCTACATTACAGTTCTTTAATTCAAACTAACTGACTACAAAAGGAAGCAACAGAGGTTCCACAAAGCTTGCATTGAAACAAAACAACCAGCCCGGGCACAGTGGCTCATGCCTGTAATCCCAGCACTTTGAAAGGGCAAGGTGGGTGGATCACTTGAGGCCAGGAGTTTGAGATCAGCTTGAGCTAAATGGTGAAACTCCATCTCTACTAAAAATACAAAAATTAGCCAGCCATGGTGGCGGGCATCTGTAGTCCCAGCTACTTGGGAGACTGAGGCAAGAGAATTGCTTGAACCCAGGAGGTTTGGGTTGTAGTGAGCCAAGATCCCCCCACTACACTCCAGCCTGGGCAACAGAGTGAGACTTTGTGTCAAAACAAAACAACAACAAAAAACAAAGAAACAAATAAAAAAACCCAAAACGACAAAAAAGTTTAGCTTTAAGTCTGTTAGGTAAGCAAGCTCCTTACTGGGCATTAATGAAAGCATTTTAGAGTTAATCATCTTCAACTGGTAACTAGGAAAGCATTTTGAGCTGGAGTAAAGTTTTATTTTAATTGTTTTCCAGAGAAATAATATGCACCTAAAAGGAAGCATATGACATTTGCTCTTAAAACTCACTACTACTTGACCTTTGAGATGTACTTAAATTCAAAGGGCACTTTGAGTCAGAGATATACAAAAGCAAACCAACTATTTTAAGCATCCTTAAAAATATTTTCACCCACATATAATTCAAAAAAAAGGACAAACCTAGAAAAATATATTATTGACTCAAGATCAAGGATGCGAGATGTTGTTATCATAGGCATTAGTTAAGAAATCATGTTCAAATAAACCACCAGCATGTAATGGAGTATGAGATTTTTGAAACTTTCCCTGATGTTAAAGCTTTATAGAAGAAACAACCTGAAACATAAATACAGATAAAGGAGTTAGCACATATAGTATCTCCCTTCTTTTCCTTACCTGGAACTGTACTGAAGTAATGTTTGATGGCGATGGTCCCTGATAGTGTGGAAAGGACAGACAACATTCCTAGTTTTAAGCTGTCATAAGGAGTCTGGAGGGCACACTCACAAAGTGCCTGGAATGCAGAAAAGAAATGAATATAGAAGTTAAAAACATCAATACACTTCTAAATTGTCTACTCCATTTACATTTTCTGGTTTTTAGAAAATTATATATTAAGGACTTTTTTTCATGTTAAAAAACTTAAGTCGAGGCCAGGTGCAGTGGCTCATTCCGGTAATTCCACCAGTTTGGGAGGTGGGAGGATCACTCTAGCTCAGGAGTTTGAGACCAGCCTGGGCTCAATGTGAGGCCTTGTCTCTACAAAAATTCAAAAAATTAGCTGGGTATGGTGGTACGTTCCTGTGGTCCCAGCTACTTGGGAGGCTGAGGCAGAAGGATCGCTCGAGCCCACCAGGTCAAGGTTGCCGTAAACCATGTTCACGCCACTGCACTCTAGTGGGGGGACAGAGCAAGACCCTGTCTCAAAAAAAAAAAAAAAAAAAAAAAAAAAAAAAAAAAAAAAAAGCACTAAGTCAAACTTCCAAACTCCTTACGGGAGCCTAAGGAGGCAGGATAACTAAATGTAAACTATGTTGATACATAAACCTTTTTACCTAGGACACTAGGTAAAAACTAAAAAATTATGAATAAAGAATGAACTTTGGTTAATAATAACAATGCATCAATATTGGTTCATTTATAACAAAAGTACTATACTACTGTAACATGTCAATAATAGGAGAAATGGTGGGGGAATGTGGGAACCCTGTGTACTATCTTCTCAATTTTTCTGTAAATGTAAAACTATTCTGAAACCCCCACCATATTTTGCTTACCTAAGAGAGATATGAATATTATTTCATATATACGTAATTTTTTTAAATGACAGAGAATATGGAATTCTATCTAGTTTCTAAGTGAACAGAGCTATCTTCCCCCATTTCTGGTCATTTACTCTACTCTTGACCAGGTAGTTTGAAGTATTACCAAAACTAAGATGCTAGTTTTTCTTTCAATGCAGTGAACTATGAATATATAATCACAGTACAGTGACTCTTGCCTTATCCTTTATCACACGGTTCTGTATCATATGACTGCATGTAATGTAACAAGTCAAATAACTGTTTTGTTAAATTAATTTCCATTCTCCCACAAAGACAAAGGTTCAGAAAATAAGCAAAACTTAAAGTCTAAGGAAAAAGTTAAAAATAACATTTCAGAAAGGGTTAAAATAAATTTAATATGACCCTCAATAAAAATGTCAATAAAATTGCAGGACGATTTAGATTATCTGATTTTAAAGATCATGTGGAAAAATAAAAATCAGAAAACATCCAGAAAAACTGGCAAGGAATAGATTTAAATATATACTAGAATTTAATATATGATAATGGCATTTAAAATTAAAGATACCAGTTAAAACTACAAAGACAATTGACCAGTCATTTGGTAAAATAAAACTATATCCCTGTTGTTTTTTTTTTTTATGGCAAATAAAAAACCAAAACTGTAAAAAGTACTATGAGGTAACGTGGAACAATACAAAGATAAAAAGATAAATGGCAAACCTAGAAAAAAATATTCACATCATATAACATCAGTAAAGGACCAAGAACCTTAATATATACAAAGTTCTGGCCGGGTACAGTGGCTCACGCCTGTAATCCCAACATTTTGGGAGGCCGAGGCAGGAGGACGGCCTCAGGTCAGGAGTTCGAGACCAGCCCAGCCAACATGGTGAAACCCATCTCTACTAAAAATACAAAAATCAGCTGGGTGTGGTGGTGCACGCCTGTAGTACCAGCTACTCAGGAGGCTGAGGCAGGAGAATCGCTTGAACCCAGGAGACAGAGGCCGCAGTGAGCCAAGATCGTGCCACTGCATTCCAGCTAGGGTGACAGAGCCAGACTCTGTCTTAAAAATAAAAAAAAGTGCTTACTAATAGGCAAAAACTCAATAAAAATTTGGTATTTCACAGAAAGAATGCACACACAAATGTCTTTTAAATAAAAAGTCTAACCTCATTCATACTTTGAAAATTTTAAATTAAAATGTGTCACTTTTTAACTATCAGATTGACCAAGGTTAAAGTTTGATAAAACATAACACTGAAGAATATGGGGAAATAGGTGCTCTCACACATTGTTGTTAGAAGAGTAAAATGGTATAAATCTCTCTAGTGAGTCATTGGTATTAATTCTCAAAAATTTTAAAATATCCATCATTAGACCTAGAAATTTCTTTTCTGAAAATTTATGTTCACTAAAGTGATTTTTCACAAACTATTCGATGTAGAAATGTCAACAGTAACAGTAAAAGTATCAGAAACAACCCTAATGTCTATCAGTGGGGAACTGGGTATATAAAAGAAGTACCACACAGCTGATTAAAAAAAAAAAAAAAGTACAGTAGATCTAGCTGCTAATATAAGATGTTTGGCTGGGTGCGGTGGCTCACACCTGTGATCCCAGCACTTTGGGAGGCCAAGGCGGGCGGATGATGAGGTCAGGAGATCGAGACCATCCTGGCTAACACGGTGAAACCCAGTCTCTACTAAAAATACAAAAATTAGCCAGGCGTGGTGGCAGGTGCCTGAAGTCCCAGCTACTTGGGAGGCTGAGGCAGAAGAATGGCATGAACCCGGGAGGCGGAGCTTGCAGTGAGCGGAGATCGTGCCACAGCACTCCAGCCTGGACGATGGAGCGAGATTCCGTCTAAAAAAAATTAAAAAAAAAAAAAAAACTGTTCCCCTATATTCAGAGGTAACAGGTTTAAAACATGCATGTAGTGTATTTTCACTTGTAAAGAAAAAAAGATGGGGCATACACAGGTTTCCATATTGATGAAAAAGTTTAGGAAGGTTACATAAGAAACTATTAACAGTGATCACTTCTGCAGAGGAGACCTATAAGAGATGACCTATATTTCACTCACTGTATACTTTTGAACTCTAGAAATTTTTTGTCAGGTGCATGAATACTTTTTTGACTGAAAGAAAGACCTAGTTAACAAGAAAAACAGCAGCAGCACAAAAATTATCATGGAAGGAATGGAAATAGACCTGAAAGATGCAGAATGTTTCTGGTAACCGAAGGGAAGACAGTCTAGGTAATGCATACAACACATACTTTGGCACTTAGGCCAGAATATGGGGTGTTTAATTTTGGCCTAAGAGGAGAAATGTTCAAAAGGATAGAGGCTAAGATCGGGGGGGATTAGGCCAGATGATATAGGGCCTTAAAAGTTAGGCAATTAAAACCTAATGAAAAACGAAAAACAGAAGCCAGAGGAGAGGAATAATGGCATCTAAAGTGTTAGGGAAGATAATTCTGGCAAATGGTAAACAAAACAAAGTTAACAAAGAGAACTGAGAGTGAAGGATGCCAACCTATAGCCTCTGTCAGCAATCCAGGCAGGTGGTGATGATGGCCTGAACTAGAATTTGGTGGCAGGAATGGAGAATAGTGAATGAGTATGACAGACATTTTAAAAGAGATTACATATCAAGAAATGAACAAGAAGGATTCAATAATTATTGCAAACTTTCAAATCTAGTAACCAGATTCCATTTAAAAGATTGAAATTTATGGCGGATAAGTCAATTTTAGAAAAAGGACAGAAAATAGGATGAGATATGAAGTCCAAGAAGAAAACATCCACCAGGCATTTGGAATCTAAGATACAGCAAATTTTTAATTGGAAGACACACATCAGAATTCTGGCTCTGCCACCTACCATCTCTCTGATCTGAGCCAATTACTGAAATATTTGAGTCCCAACTTCTTTGTCTGTAAAATGGGGTATTTATAAAGAACTGCTGATTTTCATAAAAAACACCTCTAGAAAAATATACAAGAGATATTGGTTGCCACTGGGCAAAGGAGCTGTGTAGATGACAGAACAGTAGGTGGGAAATAGTCACTATATATCCTTTTGTAGTTTTGGAATTTTGACCACATGAATGCGCTGGCATTTAAAAAACTGAATTAAAATTAAAAATCAAATGTAAGTGAGGTGACATCTACTGCCTGTAAGATTACAAAGCCACTGAAAGTCAAATCACTTTGCAACCCATACAGGCTACTATGCTAGAGAACAATATAGAAGCTCAGGTAAAAGGATTAGATTGTCGGAGGCCCTGCAAACCAGCATTAAGAAAGGCCATAAGAATGACAGAGAACAACTGGTAGAAAGCAGAGAGCCATGGACTCAACTTGGAAGAAAAAGGGCAGTGAAGAATACAGAGAAGGTGCAGGTTAGGTAGTGTAATGAATGAGTGAGGACAGTTAAGTGCCAAAGGAAGGGGCAGGTTGACAGTGCCAAATGTAAAGTGCCTAAGCAAAGTGACAGGAAAACAGATCAAAATGCAAGTGTATAAAAGAAACAGCAGGGGATGAGGAAATAAAAGCAGATACAGATGCTGTTACTGAAGTTCAAAAGAATGTATTTCTAAAAAGTGATTATTATTTAATACTATAATTTATATTTATTTATTCAAGCACTTAGGCCATTTCCGTTTGTTCACTTTTTGTTACCTAAATTGGCCTGCCTTGTACTGTTAATTAACTTGTGATTAGGACTAATATCCTAAACCAAACAGCCCCACAAGTTAGGAACTACATCCTATATTTATATGTATTCCATATTATGTCTCAGATTGCTCTATGTATAATAGATATTTAGCCTTCTGTGATAATAAACTAGGTGAGACATTTTATATAAAATGACAATAATTTCAACAAGAATTTTACCATTTAAAAAACTGAATATTAGAAAATCTTGTGATAAAATTATTTACAACATTATATTCTGTTTCTGTCATCTAGCACATTATTGGGAACCTAAAGCAGTCTCAGTAAATAAATACTCGTTTAAGCCTGGGTGCATAGCAAAGTCCCATCTCTACTAAAAAGTTTTTAAAAATTAGCTAGGTGTGGTGGGGCACATCTGTAGTCCCAGCTACTTGGGAGGCTGAGGTGGGAGAATCACTTGAGCCCAGGAATTTGAGGTTGTAGTGAACTGCAATTGTGCTACGGCACTCCAGTTTGGGCAACAGATTAAGACTCTGTCTTA